ATTGAATTAAAAAAAAATATACAAAAACGATAACTTTTAAATAGTTAATTTGATACTAATATTACTTATTTTTTCAAAATTTTATGAAATCTTCATATTTATATTTTATTTAAAAATAAAAATATTATTATTTTTTTAAAACTATATAAACTGTATTATAATATTAACAGAGACAAAAAAAATCAAATATTAAAATTAAGATTTATCTCATTGCATTACACGAATTGATAAATCTGATCAAAAAGTTTTGAACCAATAAAGCAATTTGATGATAAGTAGAAGGGTTAACTAAAAAAAGTAACGGCGTGGTAAAAATAAGATTTACTTTAGGATTTTTAACCAATAAAAGAGTAGCCAACTAGATTCCTCTGTTCCACCTACAATGGGTACCAAATAATAGCCTTGTCCCTTAGGCCACGTGGACGGCTTTGATTCGGACATGTCAGTCAGATTAAGGAATGTATCCTAGGTACCAAATTTAAAGCCATTAACTGATCCTACGGTCCCAGTTTTTTTGTCTAAAAAATGTAAGTTATTAATTATAAATAGGTTATATATTTTTTTAATTAATTACTCTTTACCATGAAAGAAGTAACAATTATATTAATAAAGGTGGTTTCATACAAATATAACCATTAATATATATATATATATATATAGTTTGTTTCAAATACAACTTATTGCATTAAGAAACAATCAAAACTTTTATGAAATCATATATTAATCAAATGAAATGGACGGTTGAGATTGAGTTGTATTGGTTGTACAAATGTCATGGTTTGTATAATAACCAACATATATATATATATATATATATATATATATATGATTGCGTTCCAATGAGAATAGAAGTTATGGTGAATTAGAAGTGCTCATGGGTTGGGTTGACCAGGTTGAAGACATTTGAACAACCCAACTCAATGCTTGCGGTTTGAAAAATCTTAACTCAAACCAAAGGTGCAACCCAAACCGTACGGGTTGGTCGGGGACCATTCAGGTTGATACTTTAGTACATTAAAATATTTTTCTAACCTTGAATATGTTATTTCTCTACTCATAATTTATTTTTCATTATCAACCATTTGATACAACTTATTCATACTTCTTACATATATCACATTCAATTATTTTTCTCAATTTACATATATATGTAAATTGAGAAAAATAGTTGAATGTAATGTATAAGATTTAAGAAGAATGAGTAAATTGTACTAGATGATTGATGATAAAAAAAGAATTATGAGTAGATAAAAACAACATTTTGAAGGTTAGGAGAATATTTTGATGTATCAAAGTATCAACTTGAGCAACTCGTACAGGTTGGTTTGGGTTGCACTTTGGATTAGGTTGAGTTGAGATTTTTCAAACTGCAAGCATTAAATTGGGTTGTTCAAATTTTTTTAACCCAACCAAACCAACCCATATATAGCTGTAATGGTGAGACTTTATAGAAGGGGGTAGAAATGGCAATTGTGTTTGTTCAGGGACTCAATTGGTAAAGTGAGTAATAGAAAGGGGTGTGAAATGTAATATAAAAGAATCTGGTGGAGAGCAGCAAAAAGGTCGTTAAGAAATAAACATAGGAAAAGAATGGAGCATGAATGCGACCCTACGGTAAGCCTCCGTAGACCTGTCCTTTTTTGACGCCGGACCTTACATTATTCTGTCCCTCTTCACTTTTTTACGCAATCTTTTCCCTTCTATGGTAAATATATACATTCAAAATAGAATTTTAAATCATAATAAAAAAATGGTATTAATAAGATTCGAATTTAGATCTAGAATGAAATAAAAGTCTTGCAAACCAACTCTACCAAGTAAAATTTATTTTTATTGTAGTTTCAAAATACATACAGTGGCATACAACAGATTAATACGGTTGTACCTTTCACGAACCTAAAAACTTTTACCCTTTGACGGATGGATAATACGGTGGCAAGTGCCACCGCATGCTCTACCGTAGGTCCGCTACTGCTTAAAAATACTTCTGAATCTTTTGATAAGTTGAATTCTGACCCAGATATTAATTTGGATGTTGGCACAATTTGACTGTAAAAAATCTACTGAAATATTTTTGTGAGATCACTTTTTTACACTTGAAACTTCACAGCAAAACGTTGTAAAGGTAAAAAAAGTCGAACCTTCACAGTAAAAACACTATTTAAGGTTACTTTCTTAACGTTTTATTGTGAAGTTTCAGAGTAAAAAAATGGTCTCGCGAAAACAGGCTGCTAAAATGGTCTCACGAAAACAGACTGCTCTCATATGATCTCAAATCTATAAATAGAAACACTGACACTTAGTTTTTGTAACAAATGGAATATTAGTATAAATATATATATATATATATGTGTGTGTGTGTGTATGTATATATGTATAGAGGTTGGTTATTAGACAACCCATTACATTTGTATAACAAATACAACTCAATCTCAACCGTTCATTTAATTTGATTAATATGTGATTTCATATAAGTTTTGATTGTTTTCTAATATAAAGTATTGATCATAATTAATTAATCATATTCATCTTTTATAAATATTCAAATTATAATAAATAAATTTTCATTATTTTTATAAATATCTTAATTAATTGGGTTGAATTGATTATACAAATGAACATGATTGCATTTAATATATATATATATATATATATATATATATATATATATATATAATGATGGAAAGGTAATGGCGGGAATCACGTGGGTGGCGGAGGAGGATAAGGCGCCGTGTCAGTGATAGCAACTCTAAAGTCGTGATGAACTGATGATGACTCGATGCATTTCTACAGGGATTTCAGATGCTTTTACAACCTTGTTATTTCAATTTTTTAGGTAGCTTAAAACATTAAAAATGAATCAGAAAAGATACATTATATATATATATATATATATATATACATATATATACCCGTCTGTTTTTATGACACCAATTTTTTACATTTAAAACTTTCCAAGAAAACGTTGTGGGTATATATATATATGTATATATTAGTGCGTTCCCTAATGTTAGGGAGTTTTTCCCGTATCTCACTCACTATCTCAAAGAGGATCAAACGAGAAGGTAGTAGATATAAGACAACACGGGAACCGTCAAATCACATGTGATTTTACACTTAAATAGTGAGATTGACGACTTTTACCATGGTAAGAACTTACCGGGTAAATTGTTGCATACGGTACCGTTTTGATGAACTAAAATCTTACCCAATAAGTAAATGATAATGTTAAACTTTACCGATAAGCACTTACTGGATAAGTGTTTAGTCAACAGCCGCTAAGAGATGAATTTGGTTGTTGAAAATAGTTGCTTTATAAACCAAGAGAAGAGGGGCAGAGTGGTCAAATTACAGGAGTTGCAATTACAAGCCAGACCTCTCTTTAGTGCATAAGCAATACCCTTTTGCTTTAAAAAGAACAAATAGTATGAGACTAGGAAAATGACATTACTCCCCTCCAATCCTTTTAACATTTTTCCTAACCATCTTTATCTGACATACCCCGATGTTATTACATCATTTCGACAAACGAGCTTATGGAGAAGGTCATTAAGTACGAACACGAGATTGGTATGTGTTTTATCACGATGTCACGTGGATGCACAGGTTATATGACAACAACTCAACGTCCAACTTTTTCTCTAAAACAAACCAAACGAATCCAATATATTTCATCCAGATGTGGGATATACATAAGCTGACTTCTATCTAACAGATATATATTATATATATATATATATATATATATATATATATTATATATGCTTCTGTTTATTCATGTCCCTCCCTACCCATAAATTTTTAATCCCTAACAGTATAACAAGATTTATTACTCTCTGCTACCTATTTGCTATTTGCACATACTCTTGTGTACCGGCAAGTTGTTTTCACAAAAACAACCGTTTTACCATTTCGGATAAAGTTCAAGTCTATGTACAACTTAAGGGTCGTTTACCAAACACCTATCAAGTCATGTTACTTTACCGGATGAATAAGGCAAGAACCAAGAATCTTACCTGGCAAGAGCGAAGGCAAGGACAAAGAGTTTTACCCGGTAAGTGAGGATGATGACTCTTTAACACGGTTAGTGCTTACCAGGTAAATTGTTACATATGATACCGTTTTGATGGACTAAAATCTTACCTGGTAAGTAAGTGATAGTATTGAATTTTACCGGTAAGCATTTACCCGGATAAGACTTAGGTAAACGGCCTACCCTACTTTCTAGTAGGATTTATTAGGTTCGTTTGGTATGGTTTAGTAAAACAGAGTATCTCCAACAGATTCTCCAAAATCAATAATTAAAAATCAAAACTTCTAAAGATGTCTGACAATTTCTCATTTGCAGATTGCAATTATGAATTATATTATTAAAATATTCAATATCTTTCATAAAATATTATTTGTTTCCTATACATTTATATGAGAAGGTTTTGTTGAACCTATTGGAGTAAAAATTCCTAAAATCTCTATTTTAAAGAATCTAAGAATCTGTTGGAGATGCTCTAACAGAGTACAACATCTACAATCCTGTACTCGGGGTCGGGGGGTTGTTTGATTCAGGTTGGGAAATGAAAATATAAATGCCGAAGAATAAAAATGGAAATGACTTTTTATTCCCCCAGTTTAACCTAGAATGAAAATTTTGGCTTCTAGAAGAATGAACCCGTTATATTTTATAAAACCTAACAGTTTCTTTTACTATCATTCTCATTGATTATTGCTTAATACTTCTAACCAAACACCCCTCAAATGTATTTATATACGGTCGATATGCATTAGAAGCAAAGCCACATTGTTTTATAGAAATACTAGGGGTTGTTTTCTTCTTAAATCATAGGAAGCAACCAAAGCCACAAGCAGTTTTTCTATATCATGAGGTGGTTTATTCACTAGAAAGCACACACTTTTCACATTCTAAAGGTAGATCCATAACTCCCCTAGCCCATGGCATATTTCTGGGTCCAAGCTCGAGCCGTAGCCTCATATTTCGCCCTATCGTTCTTGTACATATGAGCAATCTCGGGCACTAAAGGATCATCAGGGTTCGGGTCGGTCAACAGTGAGCAAATTGAAAGCAGAACCTGCAAACTTTCCATGTATTACAATCACATAAACCTCAAACTCTTACCACCGTTATTCTCCAAAATGCCCCCACCATACTGGTCCAACAACCGTCATGGGAGGTAAATCATGTGTCCTAGGTAGAGATGAAAATTTTAACCCAAACAGGGCGGGATTACCCAGTTTGGCGGGTAAAAGGGTGGAGACGGGGAATTATTTTCACACCCGAAGCAGGGTCGGGAATGGCATTGCCCGCCCCTAATCCCACCCAATTAAATCTTTTATTTTATTTAATATATGTATATATGTGTGTATTAATAAGTATATATGTACACATTTATTATTAAATGATAAATATATTTGATTTTCAATATTGATAATTAATGTAGCGATGTTTTTTACTAGACGGGTACCCTAAGGGTTCCCCACTCACCCTACACCATTATGATCTCACCACTATCCCATTCTAAGCATCGATGTTGGTGAACATACAATAAAGTCTACGGGGATAAAAATCATCCGTCCCCGAACTTCATGTCTCTAATATCAATCATGTGAAGACGCATCGTTGTTTTATTTAACATCCATTAATCCAATTCATCTTTTTATTCTCTATCTCTTCAATAAACTAATCTTCACATGATTGGTGGAGATCGAGTTCAGAGACGGGTGATTTTCATTCAGCTCTACCATGGTTGTCATCACAATGTATTTAGAAAGAGAATATTACTTTGGAGATGGTAAGTGCAGGACTCCACTGTTCCTTCAGGATGTCAAGACAAATGCTACCATTGCTGTTTATGTTCGGATGGAATACCTTGGTTCGAAAGGAGACCTGTCAAACATATAACAAAATTATTTATTTCTATTTTCTAACATATGTCCAAACAGCAAGCGTTGAAATGATGACACCAAGCCTAAGGGTCCGTTTGTTAGCAGCTTAACGAGTTTAATGGGACTCGTGCCTTATCCTGTCAGCTATGCAACATTGTTTGTTAGTGGCTTCATGATATAGAAAGTGGCTTATTCAATAAGCATTTAGGAGGAAGCTTTATGCAGAAAGCCAAGTTTATCCTTCCAATTAAAAAACATGCTCATTCCATCTATGAAAAAGCCCTTTCAAACAAAACCTTCCCGATCTATAGAGATAGATCAATCCACACAAGACTTCTTTATCCATACAGGACTTAATGAAAAACTAACCAAACAGCCCTAAGCCCGATATAAATTAGATAGAATGTCACCTCATTGCCATAACTAAGATACCATTTTCATGGCGGCAAAACTAATGATCATATATTCATTACTGATATATCACTAATGCTTGGTTTTAACTTGTAAAAGCAGATTCAGGGAAATAAATAAAACCAAACCAACTGACCCAGTTTATCCATCTCTGAATAGAGTACGGGTGGGATATACACACAGCTAATTAGTGTGGTGGTTTCCATGAAGACCCCGCTTGTGCAAAAATAGTGGGGGCATAGATGATTTGATTGTAAATGAATATTGAAGACAGTGCTCACTACCTTTGGTGGCTTGAATGGGTAATCTGGTGGGAAGTTAATGGACACAAGAAATACTCCACCAGCAAAAGGACTTTCTGAAGGGCCCATAATGGTTGCTTGCCACTGGAACATGTCTTCGCTAACAGGGCCTGAAGAAACAACAAATTACAAATAATTAGAAGTCCAATTTAGATCTTTCTATTAGGTTATGTTTGGCAAACTAACTGAGAAGTTAACTGGTGACTGATAAGCTAGTTGTTAGTTGAAAAAGATAGATGTTGGCTAATAAGTTATTTGAGTTAGTTGATAACCGGTCATGTTTGGTAAAAATATGTTGACAAAATAGATAGACAATGTAACATGACCTAAAAGTACATTTTGAAAAATTATTCAAGTCCAACATATAAGGGGTATAATTGGAAAAAGTGAGAAAAGAACAAAGTAGCTTTTCAAAAAGCTAGCTTATAAGCTAGTTTATGGCTTAAAACATGGCCTTAGATTACAATCTTCACTTGCAGGAAGTCATGTCAATAGCAGATAAATAAGAAGAATAATCTTAGGCAAACCATGAAGATAAAACTAGTAACACAAATGACTGCACCAACTACTGGAGTTCCAACATAAGTGTCAGATATTTCCCCACAGATTTAGAGTAAGTGGTAGTAGTAATTTGCTGCAGACAACAATGAGATGAGACACATGGAGAAGAGGAAGGGGAATCATTTGATATAGTTTAAAGTTGTCTGTGTCTTAATCCAGACAAGACCATTTAAAAATACCAACCAAATTAAGATGGATAGATCTCTTCACATTCAATATCATCTGCCACCCCTTGCACATGGTGTTCATAAATCATTGATTTGGAGAAAGCTTATGATAGCGTTCCATAGGAGATGATTTGGTACAGCCTGGAGAAGAGGGGGATACCTTGGAGATGCGTCGAGGCAATTCAGGATATGTACAAAAAGTACGAGGACTTGTGTTTGGAACCCCCCCCCCTTGCAAGTGGGTGAGACGGACTATTTCACCATGAAAATTGGACTACACCAAGGATCGGCACACACCTGTGGAATGCTATCATAGGAACTCCAAATCACCTCCATCCCACAAACCCGAGAAACACACCACCAATCAGCCCTTTTTCCAGTTCAAGGTCATGCATTATGACCAAGATAATCAACTTCTTTCACGGCAAGAACATGAATTTGTTCTAGCTCCAAATTACCTCCATCACCCTAATCCAAGGCATACACCACCAACTGGCCTCTGTTCCTGTTCAGGGTCATGCACTATGACCAAGATCATCAACTTCTTGCCAGAACATGAACTTTTCTAGCTCCAAAGGTGTATGCATTAGCTACACCAAACTACAAAAGATGAAACTTCAAACAATAGATTGTAGGTTAAGGTAAATAGTCACCAACACTACAGCCATCAAGTGGAAAGATCACAAACTGTCGTACATCTTTCAAAAGACTACCAGACTTTTCGAAAGGGAAGCAAATAAGAGACTACCAACAGGTGTCAATGATCACTGTTGATTCTAAATAAAAAACTCTTGTGGATTTAACTAAAAAACGCCCTATGTAGATCAAATCATTTTTCCGGAGTATAATATCACACAATACCATTAGGTCCAATTTTTGGATATGCCTCCAAAACAGCTATAATAACCACTCTCACAGTGAAATTTATGTTTCATAATCTATTTTCTTTATTTGTGCCGGAAATAGGAAGGAAAAAAATGAAGTACATCATGCTATCCCCAGAGAATAAAAAGTTTGCAGGAACCAGATGAAGTCGCATGGCATCAACAAAAATGCATACCAAGATGAAACAGGTACTATCCAAAATCAGGACATGACAGAATAATGAAGGATGGAAACTAACCAGCACTGCAAGAAGCAGGAGGATCCTTTTGCAAGTCCTTCAACTCCTTCTGAATCCTCTTTGAAGCCATAAGAAGATTCTGATCACTATGCCTGCAGAAACAGTCAATTACCTAAAATCTCCATGTAAGACCTTCATTTATTCAACATGAGCGCAAAAAGACAATGATCCATAGCCATTTGAAATTGCTTTGAAAAACGGTGTGCTCAAAAGTATTAGCGTAGGCATGGGAGCATCTCCAACAGATTCTCCAAAATATATAATGGAACTTCAAAATCTTTAAAACAAAAACACATTCAACTCCAACAGATTCTCCATTTTCGAGATTACAATATTTATTATATTATTAAAATATTCTTTTCATCTAATAAAATATTATTTCTCTTTATATATTTATTTTCAAAGCTTCCTATTGGTGGAAATATATTAAATAATCTCTCTCATTGCAATCATTTCAGGGTGTTCTTCATATTTGGAGATTTTCTCTCTCTCTCGCTCTCTCATCTCCTTTTTAGGAATCTGTTCGAGATGCTCTAAAACTCTTGGTGTGCATGTGTTCTAAAGCCTAAATCATGTACTCTATATTCTTGAGTTCTTGGTAATAATTCATATTAAAGCCTAATTATTTGCATTTTATGAGAGCTCACTGCTTCGAGTCAAGGATCACCTATTTTGAATTAGGTTGTCTTGTTGGAAATCCCAATCTCATCAAACATTTCCAAGAAATGCACCATAACTACAAAAATCCGTCGAAACTCTAATCCAGACACACAAATTTACCTTCTAAACAGCCAAGAAAACATGCAATTGCATAAAAACTCCAAATACTAACAGAAGATACACAAACATACAGAAAAATCACACTTGCAAACACTCATAAACCGTTGCGATGATTGAAATTCGAACATGCAAACACAAAATTGAAGCATAGTAAACAAGCTTGCAAGTAGAATTGAACTTCATAAAACCCTACGAAAATCGAGACAGATCACCTAAATAAGAAATCGATCACTAAAATTAAACATAAGATCATGTAACCAATCAGAAGAATTCGAGTGAATTACCTGCAGGAAGAACAGAGCTAGGGTTTTGAATTGTTGTTTCTGTTACGCTATGTGTAGATTACGCTACTCTTATGTGAAATGAAGCGGCCATCGAAGAAAGTTGGTATTTATAGTCGGATGGTAGTTTACGTGTCTCTGGGCCACGTGTCAGGAGCAATCCTAGCTGTCAATAATATACGACTCTCTTTACCCAAAATAAAAGCCATATAACGAGTAAATTGCCTTTTTAGTCCCTGTAGTTTTTCAAAAATTACTCTATCATGCTCTTATAATTGTTGAATGATTTGGTGTAAAATAATTAAGTGGTCATTTTCATTAAGAAGTTCTCATGATACAACGTACAATAAAATATAATTGTTTGTTAATTGTTTACAATGAATTTAGGGCACCGAATAGTTAAAGGAGACTCATAATACAAAACTATTTAAAGGGTTTTAGAACCATTAAGATGTATATTTTTTTATTTGTCAAACAAGATTAATCTCTTAATGGAACTATTAAGGGATTGTTAGTTTACCTTTAATAGTTATATTAAGAGGCAGTGTTAGAAAAACTTTACTTGGAATCCACTGAAAGTCGTTTATCACTTTCAGATTGAAGTATTTCGACGATACAATCGAAATATCAATAGGATAAAATTCAGTGATTGACAGAACTTCAAATCCAAGATGTTATGAAATTTGTGTACCCTCTCTCCCTCTCTATTAAAAATGACCAATTCGAATATTGAACAAGTGCGAAAACTGTCAAAAAACTGCAGTTTTGCACCCTAAACCGGGTTTAAAAAACCGGGTATAAAATCTAAAATTCGGATTTCTAGTGCATTTTTCACAAAACAATATTATCTGAATAAAAAATTTCCAAGCTGACCTGGCAGCTCGACCCCAGCCAGGGGCTCTGCCCCTTGGACCGCGCCAGGGGCTGCCGCCCCTTCGACCCCGCCACCGGGGGCGCTGCCCCCGGACCCCCGTCGTTTAGGGGCTTCTCCCCTATATCAAAATAAACTCAAACAAGTGTGCACTACGCATCTTCCTTACTTGTTTGATATTTATCATGATTACATTGGTCAACAAATTAATCCCATTACACTTAAATGATATTAGTGATACAAATCACCAACAGGCAGCCTTTGAATGTTAAGAGGCGAATCTTGTTTGGCAAAAAAGTATGTATCTTAATGGTTTTAAAACTCTCTGGATGATTTTGTATCATGTGTCTCCCTTAACCATTCAAAGCCTTAATTTCATAATTTTATTATAAACAATTATATTTTATTTTGTAATATATCATGAAAGTCTCTTAATCATTATGACAATTTAATCATTAAGCATAAAACCATTCAGCAACCGCCAAACAGCCCATTATTTTGTAAATTATTTTTGTTTCGAACTATGTAATTTACAACCCATTACTGTGTTGGTCCCTTGTATTTACAGATAAGAATTAACCTAGGAACGAAAATAGATCAACCTGATCCGATCCGGCTATGTGATTGACGCTTCAAAAACCGAAATTTATGTCATGTTTCAGGCAACCGATTGGCTTTAAGAGACGATTTCTAAAGTATGGAGACGAAAAATCATAATTTGCTCTATAACAAGAATTAATTATAGTTTTGGTCCCTATAGTTTCATGAAACTTTTAGTTTTTCTCCTCTTGATTTGAAAAATTATAGTTTTGGTCCCTATACTATCATGATATTGGGTTTTAAATTGTGTCTCATGTTATGAGATGTGTCTTCGTCATTACAAACTTACAATAAAACGGACTTGTGTAAGGGGTGACTCATGCCATGACGTGTGTTTTTTACAATGTGCGGCTTTTTAAAATATTATTATTATTATTATTATTATTATTATTATTATTATCATCATCTTTTGTGTATTTATACTTTTACATTTATCTAATAACATGACCCGCAGTTTCATGGATCACACGTATTACAGACGTGTGGTTAAAAAAAAGTTGTAAAATTCTTCCCAGTTCTATTTTGAATATTTGATTATATGTGTTTTATAAATATTCATATAAATATGGATGATATATTGATTAGCACAATATTAGGAAAAATTTAACTGAGATATCCATTAAATTTTTTGAAAAAAGCTGCCACATTTTAAAAAATGTAGAATAATTTTGTTTAAAAAAATCGCCAAAATTTCCAATGAAACATTCTCAAACTGTTCAATGAAACAGGATAATTTCCAATAAAACAAACTCAAACTGTTCAGTGAAACATGGTCATATATGATTGATTTAGGTTCATATGTATAACAACTGTAATGAAACAAGTTTATATTTATAGGTATGTACAACAGTTTGCAATGAAACAGGTCCATCTGTATAACACTTTTAATGAAATAGGTTCATAAATCATATATGATTGCATCAGGTTCATATGTATAACAGATGTAATAAAACAAGTTCATAGGTCATATATGATTGCATCGGGTTCATACGTGTAGTGAAACAGATTCATAAAACATGTTTTTCGCATTTTGCCCTTCCGCGTATCCAATATGATTTTTTTTTTCTTTTTTTATATTTTACTTATTTAGTTTGTTTCAATCTTGGCCTTTCATGTGATTAGTTTGTAAGGTTTATATGAAATAGATGGTTTGCAAAGTAAACCTCACACACACACACACACACATATATATATATATATAGGCCTAATCAAATGAGAACTAATTAGTTTGTGGTAACCGTGAGTTTTAATCTCAATCACAAATCAATAGACAAATTAGAAAATTTATAATTTTGATTATCTTGAATTGAAATTTTAATGCTTATTTGGTTAACCGAACTGTCTACACCACAAACCGAATAACCCGAAACTGTTTTGGTTTGTGTGAGTTGTTCGGTTTCGGATTCTTTATACCCTAGGCCCCCAATCACTTAAGATCCTAGATTCGCCACTACTTCCATCTATGACAAAAATCTTCCAACAAAAAATCTTCCTAATACGTACGAGCAAATAATATTTTGTTCATATAATATTTAATAAAAAACATATGGTTTTTTTTTATCTATACTATATTATAAAACATTTAAAAAAAACTCTTATAAGCCATTTTTATGCATAAAGTACCGTTTATTGATGCACATTATTTAAAATTCAAGATTACAAATAAACTGTATGTAAGTACAACTTATTAAAGCTTCATATTTGAATTTGTATAACCAACTGCAGATACAAGATAAACATTTTATTTTATGATATGTTTAAATTAAACTTTATTAAAATTAAAAATATTATTTATTTTCTAAAACCATATAAAAATTATATTAAAATATAAACATAATATAAAATTAAATATTAAAATCAAGTTATATACCCTGATTATTTATTAAAAAAAACACATACCCATTAACAAGAAATCCAACATGGGACGATGAAGAATAGCCGGAACGCACTATACCCATCTTCGATTCTCCCCCAAATCCCACTCTCTTCCAAATAAAAATCAAATCCAACACATTACCTTTCAATAATCGAAGATCAATCAGCGAAGGTTGACATTTTTCCATTACAAACCCACCCACACCCACACACACTTCACGACGTCCCCAAATTACATTTTCTTCGATATCAATCACTATCACCATATAAATCCAAACTCCGATCCATATTTCCATCTGGGTGCCGTTCATATCTTCGATATATTATCTTTTCGATTCAGGGTCGGTTGTCTTTCACTACCAAATTCATCATCATCATCAACAACAACAACAACAAACCCTGAATTTCTTTCTATTGGAGTTTCAGCTAACTCTCGGTCGATAAATTCACACTCTTCCCGGTTAGAACTTCATGTTTTAATTTGGTTTTTAACTTATATTACATGGTTAATTTCACTGTATGTTAATGGGTATTTTGTCTGTCGTTTTTCCCCCATGATTGCATGCGAATTTGTGTTCTTGGTTTCCGTTTGTTTTTGACTTTGTGGTAGATACTGTTTTATGAAGATGGTATCAGTAGGATTATGCTTTTGCTTCATAATTAAGTTAAGTTTTAAGTCAAATTGGATCTTGAAAATTGAATATTTGTTTGCCTTTTAGCCAACATCTGGCCCTACTAATGAAATCTTTGCAAAATTGCAGAATTTAGTATAGGGGATGTTATAAATAGATGCCATCTGAACTGTACATCGAAGCATAGATACAGATTTCTGTATCTATGTACCATTTTATGCTCTACCAAGATAGATTTTATTTACACAGATATGGTAAAAAAGTGAAATTTATGATCTGTAGTTTCAGTTAGCAGATCTTTTTGGGGGTAAAAAGTGAAATTTACCATGGGTATCCAGGCCAGCCTACGCACACCGACTAATCCCTGTACGACCACAAATGGCCAGGAGTCATCGCTGATGAACCTTTGTGGTCAGAAGGGCTTTGGTAGTTTATGGATTTGAACCCGAAGAAGATGAGAATTTACTGCATCCCCTGTGTCTTAACCGGTGTGCGATAACCCAAGTGGTTAGTCAGGTGATCTATGAATAATTGGGTCGGCTTTCTTGGCACTTCATAGGCTTCAAGATCCTTTCAAGCTCGGATCTTTTTAAGTGTAGTTTGAATTTAGAAACATCGTTCCAGTAGTAAAGATGTTTGTTTATATTGGGATGGTGGAAATTAAGTCAAATTGAACATATTGGGTATGTCCCATTCAGAAGTAGGGTCTGAGGGTGTGGATGATGGAAATTATGGTGTTTAAATTCGTGTTCTATTATTGAAATATGTTTATTGGTATTGGTAAAACCTAAAGTAGCCATTTACCGACACAAATTGGGTAAGCGCTGACTGCAAATGGTTGTTTACCAAGTGTCTGGGTAAGCGTTGACCGGGTCAGAAAGCAACCCTTTTCTTGTTGAGTCAACATCTCGGTCAACATGTTTGGTGGGTCATAGTGTGTTGGTAAACAACATCCCTCCTTACACAGTAAGCACCTCTTACTCAGTAAGAAGCGTTCTGCAGGTAGTGAACAACCCCTAAATCATCTTTCTTGCTAAACCTACACATATCCTTCAGTTTTCATTCCAAGAAAATGACTTCAAAATGGGATGAGATGATTTGTTGCACATAATTGGTATTTTCACTTCTTCACACCTGTTGGGCGAGTTTTCTTTTCTCACAATTTTCACAAGCTGAGGTCTTCACAGAAACAATCGCTCTATTCTTACATCCCACATCCGGACCCCACCTTCAGGTGTGATGTATTGGGCTCGTTTGGTTTGGTTTGGGTTGGGTTGGTTTTAACTCACTGGGCTCGTTTGGTTTGGTTTGGTTTGGTTTTATTAGTGTTATTTCTCATACTATTATCGATTATTACAATTCTTTAATTTTAACATATGTGGTCAGGCTATATTACGCTTTGCACAATCCCTTACTACTTGACTATGGGTGGTATATTGTCGAAGGGTGATGAACCACCTATGGTTTCGGTACCTACAACCAAATTTGAAGCGAAAATCTTGGAGACAATGCGTCGGAGAGAATCTAAAGGAACTTCCATGAAATCGTTCAACACCATAATCCTAAAATTTCCAAAAATTGACGAAAATCTAAGGAAGTGCAAAGCTATATTTGAACAATTTGGTAAGCATGTGAAGATTTTCGCACATTTTTTATCGTTTCTGTTGCATGTAGATACTATATATTTGTTTCATCTTCCATTACAATTATTTTTATGTTATGGGGTTTGAAGGAAAACCCCGACTTTATGGAAACAACCGCTCTACTCTTTGAGTGGAGGTCAGGTCGGCGTACATCTCACCCTCTGTGGACCCCATGTTCATGTGGGATATACCGAGTTTGTTTGGTTTTGACGAACTCTTATCTGTCTTTCTTTAAAATTTGTGTTTTTTTGCGAGCATAGATGAAGATAAAAGCGGTTCGATTGATCGGAAGGAGCTAAATCATTGTTTCCGTAAGCTGGAAATAGATTTTACAGATGAGGAAATCAACGATATCTTTGAGGAGTGTGATATAAACGATGATATGGAAATAAGCTTCAACGAGTTCATTGTTCTTCTTTGTCTCGTGTATCTTCTGAAGAAAGATCCTGTTTCTTGCTATGCTGTATCCACCACTAACTTCTATCACTAGCTTATTTTTTGAGCTTATTGAAAAAGTCTCGTCTGGTTCGTCATAAACTAGCTTTTTGAAACGTCTCAATGAGCTCCAGGGCTTTTTTTTCCAACTATGCCCCTTGTATTTTTCCAATTAATTTTTTGACATATGTCCTTTTAGGTCATTTCACATTGTCATCTAGCTTATCAACTAATTTTTACCAAAAATGACTTGTTTATCAACTAGCTTATTAACCAATAGTTAACTTATCAGCCAGTTTGCCAAACATAGCCTTAGAGGCTGTTTGGTTGGTTTTCTATTAAGTTCTATATGGATAAAGTTGTTTGTGTGAATTAGTCTGTCGATATAGATTGGAAAGGTTTTTGTTTGAAGGGTTTTTTGATAGATGGAAGGAGCGTGTTTTTTAATTGGGACGGGAAAGTTTGGAAAACAACTTGGCTTTCTGCATAAAGCTCCTCCCTAGAAGCTTATTGAATAAGCCACTTTCTATATCATTAAGCCACTACCAAAGTCATGTATAGCTGACCGAATAAACTGCAAGTCCCATTAAGCTCATTAAGCTGCTAACAAACAAGACCTTACTCTTGTTTTGTGTGTTTTGAGTTCTTTTCTATCTTGTTACATTCTTGACATTTATAGAGTTCGCGGAAGGGGTTCCAAGACCTAGAAGTGACGTTTGAAACTTTGGTCGACTCATTTGTGTTCTTGGACAAAAACAAAGATGGGTACGTTAGCAGGGGCGAGATGGTCCGCGCGATAAATGAGACGACTTCCGGCGAGCGGTCTTCTGGGCGCATAGCCATGAGAAGATTCGGTATCTCTAGCCCCTTCTCTCTCTTTGCATATTGATTGTTAACTATAAGCTAACTTATTTTTGAGCTTATTGAAAAAGCACTGATTGATAAGCCATAAGCTATCGTTTTGAAAAGCTACTTGAAGCATAGTTCCAATATAGAAAAACTACTTCAAGCCTGCCAACTAGAAAATAATTAGTGAATCTCAGAGAGATTTATATTATATTTACCAAACATTACTACTTTATCCGCTAGTTTGCAAAGCATAGACTACAATAAAGTAACATCTTAGAATACTTGTAACAGTTGCTAAATTTGGGTGTTTTTGAGTTTGCAGAAGAGATGGATTGGGATAAAAATGGAATGGTCAATTTCAAGGAGTTCCTTTTCGCCTTCACGAAATGGGTCGGAATCGAAGATGCCGAGGGCGAAGAAGACGACACGAAAGAGTGAGCAAGAAAACCGAAACATCGTGCCTACGATTGGGATCACGAGCAGCTAAGCGATCACCGATCAAGCCATCTATAAACCGCCAAAATCCCACACGCCATGATGACGGTCGAGTTCAAAACCCGAAACAAGATTGATTTATGCACTTTGATTTGGTTTGTATCAGTAAATAGATTTGAACATGGAACTTGTTTCTTTTTATCTTTCAGTGAACACTTCGATTTCGATTGTTGTAACGTTTGTTCTATGTTGTTTTTCTTGAGATTGTTTGTCAATATCGTATTTTTGGCAAAGGGGTCAATACGAATATTGTAACAACCCGTCTTAAATATCAAGTTTAAGACTTATTATCGCATATCTACAACTTCAGCTCCACTTTTGAACTTCAAAATGTTAACTGATAAACATGATCAAATACAAGATAAACATTGAATTCTGCAATACTTTGGACAACCAATAACTTCTACCATAATTTTAAGGTGATTCAAAAAGTTACATAACTACAAACCAATTTATATATAGAATTCTCACTCAATTGTACCAAAACTCCCATAACAAGCTCTCAAAACACACAATCTATAAGGTCTTCTTTATTACAATATTACTCCCAATAACCAACTGTTTTTCCCCCAAAACACACACCTCATATCATATAGTAACACGTTAGAACGGGATGCAATCCGGTGCCCCGACGGCGGTTGGAGGCAGCGTTTGTGTGGCAACAACGCATATACCAAACATGCAAGCTCGAAAAGCCCACTAGTAACGAAAAATGGGCTTCATTTCCATCATCCTCTGGTCTTTGCTCTCTTCATTCCGAGGCTATTGTCGAAGGGCGACACCGAACCCGACATCTGAGAGCCTTCTTCACGAAGGGTGCCGTTCAGCATTGCAAGCTCTCGTAGTTGTTGCTTCTTATAGAAATCATGAGTCTCGTCCTGGAGACGCAACAAAATTAGCATATGAACCCTAAATTCTAGAGACAGAAAGATCTCTAACCCTAAACCCATAATTTAATAGCAAATGGTAAGCAATCCGAATGAAGATGATACCACGGGTCTAAGCAAATCTTCAAGAATTTCGCGAGCTTGCATCAAACGGGCGTCTATTATATCAACAGGTAATTCTGCTTCGACGAGTATGTGTAGAGGTTCATTCAGGTGTTCAAACCCCGGTTTTCCTCGCATCTTCTCTTCCTACATGGAATAAATGATTAACAATTGAGAAACTACGTTTGAAGTTCATTCAAGGTTCTTTCTGCAAAAAGGGTATGACGCCACTCTCTGGGCAGAGAGGCACAAGGCCCGGGCTTTTTTAGGCCTACGCCTGGGCGCGACAAGCCCGTTTTAGTAAGCAAAAAAAGAGCCCGAACATGATGTGAAAATAGAGATGCACAAGGCCCGAGCCTTCCAAGCCCATTTTCAGTGAGCAAAAAAAAAGCCCGGGCCTTCTAAGTGCTTTTTCTATGAGCAAGAAAAGGCCCAGGCCAGGCGGGACTTTTTTGGGCTTTTCCAGACCTTTACAGACTGGGCTTTTACGGGTCGGGCCTAGGCCCAGGCTTGCTCCCAAACTTTCTGCCTGGTCGGGCTTTGAGGCTTGGCCTGGATCGGGATTAGGACTCACTAGGCCCTGGCTTCTTTGGGTCGGGATCGGGCCAGGCTTGGGCTTTTTTATGCACCTCTATGTGAAAATAGGCCAAATTGGGGTTTTTAGGCTTTTGAAAAAAACTTGGGCCGATTGGGCTTGCTAGACCTGGCCTGGGCATTTTAGGGTCGGGCCCAGACTGGGTTTCAAGTTTTTTGTCGAGGCCCACAACAATCATAGGGGAGGTAAATCAGATGTCCTCAGGGTCGGTGGGTGGTGCCTAAAGGCCCGGGCTTCTTTGGACTGGGCTCGTCCCAGGCCTTGGCTGAGATTCAGGCTTGGGCTTTTTTGTACCTCTATGTGAAAATAGACCAAATCGGGCTTTCTCAGGCCCTAGCTTTTTCAGGCTTTCAAAAAAATGGGCCATCGGCCTTGCTAGGTCTGGGCATTTCTGGGTCGGGCTTTGGGCTTTTTGTGGCGCCACACCATACGGGTCTCACAACCATCATGGGCCAAGTAAACCAGATGTCCTAAGGGTCGGTGGGTGGTGCCTAAAGCCACAGGGACCCATTCAAGGTTCTTCCATAAGCAACAACTTCTATCAGCCAATACAAATTACGAAAAAAGAACACTTTCAAACTCCATTATTTACCTTTGCCGGATCCTTGATGCTTCCACGTCCTCTAATCAGAACACGACAGTCGGTACTTGCTTCCACTCGCTTAAGAGAATTCCCTCTCGGTCCAAGAAGCCGCCCAACAAAATTAAACTAAAAAATCCAACATCATCAATCAATCAATCAAAAACACAAAAATCAAGAAAGTTTTCAAGATTTCTTGAAAAAAGTGGACTTGCAAATCAAGAAAACTTTCAAGATTTCTTGAAAAAAAGGGACATATAAATCAAGAACACTTTCAAGATTTCTTGAAAAAAGTGGACTTACATTGGGATAACTAGCCACAGGGATATCGACCCTAATCGTTCTCTTCACTACAAGACCAGATGAACTCCCCTGAGAACCAAGCCAGCTCTGTGCAGATGAAGGCTGCAATAAAGCTGACATCTGCACAACCGAAATCTAAATCCTCTTAAAAAGGAACACGAAAACCCCCCGATTAAAAAAGTGTATTTTTGTAGTTTCTTTACACAATTGATTTCAAAGAAGCATAACGAAATCTTTATCACATAAGAACAGAGAACATTCTGAGGCAAATCTTGAAAAGTTAATAACTTTTCAAGATTTTGAGACAGACCAGATCAAGTAAATTAACATATGGCTGCAAACCCATGTCCAGAAAGGCTCATAAAACTGCATGTTGACCCTTAAAAGCATCCCCATTGGCTCTTTGACCAAGAAATCTAAGAGCTTGATAGAACCAGAAACCGTAAGCAATATAAGAAGCAGGATATATATATATTATATATACATACATTAAATGTACACTGGTCTAAGTGTAAAATTGTAGTCAACTGCAAGATGGGTCAATATAAATCCTGAAAAAAGAAACGGGTTAACGATTCTAAGTGTACAATTGTAGTCAACTGCAAGATGGGTCAATATAAATCCTGAAAAAAGAATCGGGTTAACAATTCTAAGTGTATAATTGTTGTCAACTGCAAGATGGGTGGTCAATATATCCTGAAAAAGGAAATGGGTTAAAGATTCTAAGTGTATAATTGTAGTCAAAACTCGTCAATTGTGGAAGTTGTTAGCCGAAAAACTACCTGTGATAACATAAGTAAAAGATTCGAAGCAAGAACTCAAACAAATTGAACGCAGTTAGCATGAAAAATGTGTCAGGATTCAAATCAAATGCTTCTAAAAAGCGGTAAGAAATTAGACTAACGAAAAAAGGTTATGTTAATGGTTAGTATCCGTACTTCTGATTGAATTGGTGAAGTTGTCCATCTGTTCATGTTAGCTCCTCCGTTTGAAAACATCCCGCCTGAAGCCAGGGGGCTAGCGTGTTCAAGCCCACTTTGATCTAAAACTGATGCATTCCCCAACAGTGTGGTTACACGCAGTATTTCTGCTCCAAAAAGGTCAATTTTCAAAGAACAACATGGTACCAGTTAGCAGTTAACAAAGTAGTAGTTAGCAGCAGTCACCACAGAAAATGGACAGTGGTTTGACGGGTTGGTCAGTTGAATACCATTGCGTCCCCTATCAAACCAACAATCTTTTTAACAAAAATATTCACCTGGAGAATCAAGAAAAAGACATTTAAACTTCATAATGTTAACAACTTTGGAGCCTTTTTATTTAAAGAAACAACCAACGGATGTTAAAGAGAAAGTGGTTCGTTCTTCCACTATTTTCAAGAAATCTTGCTCAGATATTACATATTGGGCGACAAGGAACTACAAGAAATCTTGCTCAGATGTTTCTTAGAGTCCCAGCAGACGGTAACAACAAAAAACTGTCCTACTGACTGACCAATTTTAGGGTTTGCATTGTGAATTCATGAACCAAGATCACTGAACATATGCCACAATTTGATACATTGATTTGATTTCTTAAAAGAAAACAGGTCCAAGATGACCCTTTTGGGGTTGCTATAACTAGACATAGAGATCTCCACCAATGGCAGTTATAAAGAGGCGCGCCAAAAAGAAAACTGGAAGACTCGAACAACAACCGACTAAGCAAGAAGGGCTAATTTATAGAGAAAGAAACATGCTTTATTCTTTCTCGGTGCGTTTGGTACACAGGCGGGACAAGATTAGACGGGCAAGAGTGAGGTAGGCGGGTGAAAGAACTGTGCAAGGTTTTAGGGATTCAATTTGACATGGGTAGTTTGGTAACTTACCAAGTTTGTCCCTCTCCCTGATTTCCGTTATGCCTATGTTGGTGGGACAAAAAAAATGCATTTTGTCCACCTAGGGTTTCAATTTGACATGAGTAGTTTGGTAATAAGCACATACAGTTTTTTTGGAGAAGAAGCATCATTGTAATGAAGTTGGAAATTTCTTTTCCGAACCCATGACAAGAAATATTGATCCTCCTTTGACTTATCAACCCAAACCATATAGTCAACCCCAAACCCCCCCCCCCCCCCCCCACAAAAAAAATAAAATGATGAAAGACAATGAGAACTACTTAATAAACCTAACCAACCAAACAACCCAGTAAATCTCACTCGAAAGTACGGTCCGGGTGAGATAAGCGGTGATATGTAAGCAGACCTAACCTCTAACCCAAAAGCACTTTAAATTCCTTTAAATGGTGATGAACCATCGGTCCATTAAATTGGCAATGCTATATGCTAACTTTACAATATGCTTTTAAGGGGAAGCATGTAACACCCTAGTTCCATATTTGTTAAATTACAATTTTTTTATGCCTTAAATACAAATATTATGAGTAGTTTAAGTACTCTAAAAAGGTGCCAACAACTGTAGCATTTATTAATCTATCATATTTATAAGGCAAGTAGCTTACAAAGAAAAACTTGAGAAATCAAGCCTACGGGGATGAGATGTAAAAGCTAGAAGTGTGTTGGCAAGCTATGTGATGATTAAGCAAGACTAGAAAGCATGAGTAAGTAAACTAGTAATGAGTTGTAAAGGCTAAAAAAATAAGTTGGGAAGACTATTTGACTACAAGGCAAGTCTAAGAAGCATGACAAAGAAATACTAGAAGCATGAGATGTCAAGATTCTCTTCCCAGAAGCATGAGGTGTCAAGATTCTCTTATCCTCAAGTAGGAGGTGTAAAACTCTCATAAGACATGTTTGAGAGCAAAAAGAACAAGTAGTTGATGCAATAAATCACCTATAAATAGTGGTTGAAGTGTTATGATACAAGTATGTGTCACACAAGACATGAAAGTTTTTACGTGTTATGTATGACCATAAAATATCCAACGTATGGGATATTACAAGAAGGGACAACTTGCAAACGGACCTTATGGGGCAGCCTTTTATGTACGCGGGGGTTAGCAGACCTCAAGACAAGTATGCCATACTTACATGTTTCAAGTGAGATCTCAAAAGAATGTTTACGCATAATAAAAAGATTATTTTGTGCATGATCAAGAGTTTTAGTGAATTACTATTCACAAAATGTTAAAGTATCACGAAAGTTGTTTATTCATAAACCATAACTACTCACTAAGCTTTTTAGCTTATATATCTCGTGTATGTATCTCAGGAAAGGAATGAAGAAGATGTGTATGAAGTAGTATTTTACTAATCAATATTCAAGACTTGGTAGTTTTAATTAAAAAGTAACGGCACCTGATGTACGTTTTAGAAATTTTGGGGCGTTACAAAGCATACTTCATGGAAACGTATATTTGAATACTTGATATATACATTTTTTCACATAGGAAGGAACGTAGTTAAGAAAATTATGATCCAAATAAAAAGATGAGAACCCAATGTGTGCCTAAAGTCTAGAAAGCTACTGCATTTTACATTTACCCGAATAAAGTCAACAACTAGAGTCACCTTGGTTTAAAAGTACTCCTTGATCACATGAAAAACAATCATTTACTATTTCTAATATCCCACTAATTGCATCGCTCATATTATGACATATAAAGAGCGAAATAACCTAGAAAAAGTCGAATAGTACATGCTCTTTTCATAAAAAACAACTTGTTTAACGTACGACTTCTTTGGTGTGGCAAACAAGCCTGTTCAACTAAGAAAAGGAACTACAATGGTTAGGGGTTGTTTGGTTTGTTTTTCATTAAGTTCTGTACAGATAAAGCTGTCTGTGGGATTAATTCGTCCGTATGGATTGGGAAGGTTTTTGTTTTGGAGGGTTTTCTCATAGATGGAAGGAATGCATTTTTTAATTGGGAGGGGCAGGTTTGGAAAAAACTAGGCACTCTGCATAAAGCTCCCCTCTATAAGCTTACTAAATAAGTCACTTTCTATACCATTAAGTCACTATAAGACAATCATGTATAGCTGATCAAATAAGTTGCGAGTCTTGTTAAGCTAATTAAGCTGCCAACAAACAGACCCTTACTATACATCATACTTCCACCCCAAATTCATATCCACATCAACCACTTTGCTAGCCTAAAAAGCAACCGACTAAAACTAAAACCAGTTCTATTAAGCTATTTACATACGTGTTTACGAAGGTAAAAACGAAACGAAATCATAACCAATAAAATGCTTTGAATTCCTAGAAAACAGGTATAACAAACTCACCCTGATTCAGCAACCGATAACAGTGTGGAAGAACAGGCACAAATGGACTCAATTTATTCCGTTCCGCTAGTAATTCAGACAGATACCTATCGGACATTCAAATAACAGAAATCCCCATCAATTAAGAGATATAAATCAAATAATAATAAGCAATAAACTTCCAATAAAAAGATCATCAAATCAAACAAACCCTATCCCCCCACTTTCTTGCCATCAAATATGAGAGATATTAAAGATTTACCAATTGCCAACAACAAGTGGAATCAAATCCAAGTCTACAACCTGAATTTTGTATCAAATTTGCAAAGAAAACATAAAATATACACAAATCTGATCCAAGTAAACAGTCGAATTACAATAGTGAATCCTAAAAATCAAGATTAGATGTGAAACCCTGAAAAGAAACAAGATAATCAATAAAGAAAGAAACCCTTTAAAACACTAATCATACCCACAGAATCAAGATCCAGTAAAAAATGGCCAAGAATTCAAGTGAAACCCTTAGAAAAACAAGATAACCAATAAAAGAAAGAAACCCTCTAAAACACTAATCATACCCACAATTTCACAAAATAAAGATCGAGTAAAACCGGCCAAGAATTCAAGAAACATAGAGTTATGGACGTAAAGGGCAAAATGGTAATCAATACTTTTCTTGCTCAACGATGGCGGTGGCAGCGGAACGAAGACCGGCGATATGAGGAGAGTGAGGGGCTGATGGGGAAGGTGAGTAAGCCATATATCTGCCGGAAGACATGGTGGGTATCCGGCGATCGGAGCTTTAGATCACGTCACCGGCCAACGACGACGACGACGACTCTCTTTCTCTTTCTCTTTCAGAAAGAAGAACCAAGAGAGATTAGCGTCGGTGGAAGGGAAGACAGATGTGAGCTCGGCATTTATTGATGAAAAGATTTGAAATTGAGATTGAGATTGAGATTGAGATGAGAAGGTCCAATCGTACACCAACACACACACACACCCCTACAGTGATAAAATCACTGCTCGCTATACGTAAAATGTGAATTGTGAAGATGATTTTGAAGTGGGGTTGCTCGTAGAATGAAAGAAAATCTTGATTTACTGCCAAATTTTGGAGGGTAAAACTTAAAAGATTACTGGTATGATAATGGTATGATAATGGTATGGTAGATCAACCTTTTCTTTGTTTCTTTTCCCTCTTTTTGTGGTTGGGCATGCTTCATCATGTTGTATGATTGTAGGCCCCTTTTCTTTGGCCCATTCCAAATTTCATACAATCATTCTTTTTTATTCTTACTTTTCTTCTAAATATACTTTCCACCATCATACATACGATGATATAAATAACTCTATTAATATGTAAATTAGACAATTATATCATCACATATTTTCTTTATATACATATATTTTTAATTTATTATTCATCTCTATGTAACTCTTTTATATATATGTTTAGCAACTGTGAACACACACACACACACATATATATATATATATATATATGAGCGATCAATTGCAAACCACCCTCATTTGTGAAAACCCTACAAATCAATCTCATCCATTCATTTTCTTGATCAATGGTCAAGATTAAATAGTGTTATATTAGGAAATTAAAAAAAATTTAATTTTTAATTAAAAATGGCAAAATCAGCAAATCACCCATATGGATCTGTTTCATTGTATGAAACTGTATTTCATCACTGTCCTATTCACTGTATGCAACTATTTCACTGAATGAAACTGTATTTCATCACTGTATGTAACTATTTCACTGTATGAAAAACATTATTTCATCATTGTATAAATCTGGTTCACTGTATTAAGCTGTATTTCTTCATTGTATGAATTTGTTTCACAATATTTATTCGTACGTGTGAATCTGGTTCACTGTATAAATCTGTTTCACTGTATGAATTTGTTCACATTATAAAATTGTATTAACTTGTATTCTTCATCGTATGCAACTATTTCACTGTTTCATCGCTTTATATTTAAAAACATTTGATTTACACCTTCCATATAAACGGTTTTTATATTTACATTTTTGTATTTAAAAATAATTAAATTATTTCCAATATTATATTTAAAAACAATTGATTTACACCTTCCATGTAAACGGTTTCTATATTTACATTTCCATATTTAAAAATATTTAAATCATTTCCAATATTAACCATTATACAATAAAATGACAATTATACCCTTACTTATTAAAATTATAGAAAAAAACCGAAAATTATCCTATTGGTCGAGAGTAGTTTGCATAGTTTTCACGAATCATGCGGTTTGTAATCTAACCCGCCTCTATATGTGTGTGTGTGTGTGTGGGCAGGTTGAGAAGTAAAATTAAATGCGATGTACTTAAGATTAAAAAAATATGGATGAATTGTACCAAATCGTTGATGATAAAAAACAAATTATGAGTAGACTATAGAAAATAGCATGTTCAAAGTTATGAGAATATTTTGATGTACCAAAGTATCAACCTGACTAACTTCTACGGTTTCAAATGAGTTGGATTGCACTTTGGTTTGAGTTAGGTGGGGTTAAGATTTTTCAAACCGCAAACATTAGGTTGAGTTGTTCAAATGTTTTCAATCCAATCTATGAGCATCCATAGTAATAAAGGGTGGACTATGACGAAAGGTATTTATGAAATCATACATATTGTCTGCACCCCGTTAAATTATACGACTTTTAAATTTCTATGGTGCAATTATGGTTTGTATTCTTGTCAAAACGACACTGTGAGGTTCGATTTGCAATTTTGATTTACATGATCGTGGTTTAAACTGCATCTCATCTGAACTTTGATTAGAATTACGACTCACATTTCAACTCTCGCTCTTCCGGTCCAAATAGAGCTTACGCTTATGCTTTTCACGACTTCAATTTACGATTTTACCCCTCACATTTAGTTATGTTGTGTTTTATTGGAGCTTTGTATTTTATGAACTATTAACCTTCGAATTTGTTTTTGATGCAGTGGATTGTATATTTTAGTAGATGTTAGGTACAAACTCCATTGTATCACATGTTGAATTACAGTTTGAGGCATATGCAGTATAGAAAAAAAAACATCACCTATACATGCAATATGTTTTATGAACGGGTAATTGTTACGATTTTAATCGACTAAGGGACCGTTTATCAAACATTTATCCGGTAAGTGCTTATCGGTAAAATTTAACATTATTATTTACTTATCAAGCAAGATTTTTAGTCCACCAAAATGACATCATATGCAACAATTTACCCCGTAAGTGTTTTTTGTAGTAAGAGTCGTCGCTCTCATTTACCGGGTAAGACTCTTGGTCTTTGTCTCGCTCTTACCGGATAAGATTTTGGTCCTTACCATATTCATCCGGTAAGGTAATGTGATTTGATAAGCGTTTGGTAAACGACCCTCTAAATAATACTTTTACCCCTTAATGATAGAGAGTAAAGTTTTCTCCAGTGCACAATGGACTGCAGTAAACATCTTTTACCTGATAAGCACCTATCGAGTAAGAGTCTTCTCCATCACTTATCGGGTGAAAATCTCAGTCCTCGTTATACTAGGGGTGAGCAGCAGAACCGAGTACTCGGCTATAGAACCGGAACCGCCGGTTCCAGAACCGGAACCGATATGAGTGGTTCCGGGTTTCTAAAATGCGGAACCGATTGAGAATGGTTCCGGTTCTCAATTTTTCGGAACCGTTACCCGCCGGATACCCAAATTTATATTAGGTTTACATCTTAAAAGCACGTCGTCATCTTCAATCTTCATCTAAATTATTCATATAAAATGATTCGTATTTTTTTAAATTGTGTGTTCACTTGGATTTATAGTATATAATCGTTAAACTTTGAACAATTACCATTATAATATGTAATCGTTAAACTTTGAACATTTTCTATTAGTCTATTATGGTTTGTAATCGTTAATCAATATTTGTAACCATTATTCTGTATAATTTGTATTCTTGCTTATTTATTTAGTGTTTTGACAATGTTTTATTTTTTATTTCTAAATAACAAATTTTTAATATTTTAGGAAGCGGGTACCCGGAACCGGAACCGGTTCCCGGCGGTTCCGGTTCCAAAAATTTAAGAACCGCTCTAACCGGTTCCGGTTCCAATATCTCAAGAACTGCCGGTTCCGGTTCCGGTTCCTGTCAAAAAGGGCGGGTACCCGCCTATGCTCACCCCTACGTTATACCTTTTTACGGAGTAAGATTCACAATTCTTGCCATGCTCACCACTAAGGTAAATGATGTCCGATATGCTCTTACCAGGTAAGAGTTTAATAAAGAGTCTCTTACATTAAGACAAATTAAAATAGAAATGTAGACACTTATTTTGGATAAGATGTAATATTAAATTTGTAATTAATGTTTTCACTCACGTTTCCCGAAAACCGGTCCAACTAGACCGGAAAGCCCAATATTATCGAAAATTACACAAATCGATGCAATTGGGTCAGGCCGCCATAAACCCGACCCAACCCAACGGATCAAAATTGGTTTCAGTTCACAGAGGCGAGTGGGGGACTGGCTACGACCCTATCCCTAATCGTTCGAGCCTCAATCCTGCAATCTTTGAATAGTTCAATCGTCTGTATCTCGGTGTAATCGCTCAACATTTTAGGAGTTCAATCTCAATCGTTCAAAAAACCAGGTAATTTTGCTCACCACATTGTGTTTATCTATTGAAGATAGAGAAAATCTAATTCTTGTCAGTAATCGAAGCAAATGACTGTATTTCGAATTGCTTAGAAAGATGGAAAATACATTGCTGCTGTGTATTTGGAATTGCTATCATTTTGTATCTTGGTTTTTGAAAGAGGACTGTGTTTTGGTCACCAACTTTGAGTGTTAATGTGTTAATGAGTTATGAGGAGGCTAGAGGGGTTCATTTGAATCATTTCCACACTCACACAATTGGACCCTAACTCCCTTGCCTACAGATATGCATACACTATAGGATTTTGATTGCTGATTGTGAGATATATTTGTTATCATGCATATCTATTTATAACTGTCTTGTTAAAGGGAGCATGAGAACTGTGGTCCAGTGTATCTTTACTATATGCACTATCAGGTTATTTTGCCTGTGCTTAAGGTTTTTGCCTGCTTGTTGCATTTGCTGCTCAAAAGAAGCAGAGAAGAAAGAAGCAAAAATAAGATGAAAATGGGCTGATAAAAATAAGATGCACAAATAACAAAGTATCAAGACCATCTGCCAAGATAGATACCTGTGTGAAATGTTAGAAATTCTGGTTTTCGATTGCTTGGATTCCACTGAAAGTCGTGTATCACTTTCAGATTGAAGTATTTCGATGGTACAATCGAAATTTCAATCGGATAAAATTCAGTGATTTCCCGAACTGAGAGTTTTCGTGTTATGAAATATGTGTACCAAAAATCCAATGACCAAATCATAGCTTTCCCCTCAAACCAAAACTGCCGTACGGCAGTTAAAAACCGGGTTTTCAAACCGTGGTCAAAACCGACAGGGGCTGCCGCCCCTTGGACACCGCCACCGGGGGTGCTGCCCCCAGACCCCCGTCGTTTCGGGGTTTCGCCCCTAAATCAAAATAAACTCAAACAAGTGTGCACTCCGCACCTTCCTTGCTTGTTCGATATTTATCATGATTACCTTGGTCAACAAATTAATCCCATTACACTTAAATGATATTAGTAATACAAATCACCAACATGAAACACGTTTGGGCTTTTATATATTCTTCCTCATTATCAACATCCAGAACCTACCACATAGGAAGTGTATACAAATTAACTTGAAACAGCCTACTTGAACAGCTAAAAAATTCAGCTTGAAAATCTGTACTTCTTTTGGTTGAACTTATATAAAGATGTTATAAGGTGATGCATAAAATTTACAAAACACTTGGGGATTTATGGCATGGTAAAGAAAGATAATTTGGTTGTGATCAAGAATCAAGATTTTATTTCACATCTCCGAGTATAATCTGTCAACTCTTGTATACAGCCTGTCCTTTGTTACAATTTTATTGTTTCTTGCAGTTATGAGATTTCTAACTGTCAAAAGTTGGTTGTGTGTGTAAGCATGTGAGAGATGAGGCTGTGGGTGGTTTATGTAATAGATAGAGCCATAGAGGGAGAGAGTTGGCGACGTTTTATCCCACTTTGGTTTAGTTGCATGTTATTGTCCTAATTGTGAGCCCATGAATAGGATGTGATTCAGTGCATTTAGGTTATGTTTGTTGTACTTGCTTTCCTGCTTTGTGTATTTTCTTCATTTGCTTAACCATCACAGGTTAGTACTCATGTTGAAACTTGAAACCGTTAGTGATTGCTTAATCATCAAGCTAATTATAGTTTATTTCACGTTCATATGTAAAGTTACATACTAACTAACGAACTTGTATTATATAAACATATACATACATTATCCATATCTACATAAACCAAACCTAGTAAACGCCAATGAAAGTAGGGACATACATACATGCATCTATAAATATGCGCGTGTGTGTCTCTACAGGTACACGGGTAGAGGTACAAAAAGTGTGAATTTTAGGGTACGCAAGTAGTCAAGTTTTGCACCTGTGATTTGTGGGTACATCCGTGTGTACCTTCAGCTATTGGGTAGTTTTCGCTGAGTAGCATACTCTGTTTTTTGTTTGTCAATATGACTGCTAAGCCATTTTGCAATAGTTAAAGGCTGCTCGTTCTTGCCACTGAGAGGTTACATGTTAATAATCCATGGACATGGTCATATTGAATTTTTTTGATTAATGGATTGTGGCTGTGAGGGTTTGATTGTTGTTTTCCTGTTTAGTGTTGGCTAATTGATTATGCGTGGGGAATAAATTTATAAAATGTCCACATTTCTATTCTATATAATTTGTACCAAAATACGTATCCACTTTCAACGATAAGTATTTACCTTCCAATTCTTTCTTTAATTATGAGATTAGAATTTCATGATTATCTCTATTCTTAGGGGTAAAATAGTCATCTAGTTAATTAAAAAGTGTAGTGATCACATATTTCTAAAAACTATGTATCTTTTTCATTGGTTTGATTTATTTATGACTAAAATTGGTGACATGGTTCGTCAGCGTATTATGTTTCTTGTCTCTAGAAGCCTGCATAACATTATGGTTCATTTTTCACAGGACTGTCTGAACAAAGAAATTGCAACAATTTCTGTTTATTTTAACCTCGATGTTTTGTCTACAATAAATAAGCAAGTTGATGAGATGAGTTTCCTTCAAGTCACTGCATCCCGGCCTTCTTTGCATATCCCAGATCAATATAACACACCCCATGGATTGGCCGTGCAACGTATTGCTCCAGTGAACATATTTAATCTTCACAATTCCCTAAAACCAACCGTTGGTTCATCAAAGAAATTCACGGAATTGATAACACGTCACATGATACAAAGAACTGGTGCATCCCGCTATCAACTATGCAAACCTGTGTGTTTATTTGGTGGCAAAGGAGGACCGAGAAGTGGCAATGAGGTATGACAATCGACATCCACTCTTTATTTCATGACGTGTGTGTATGTATAATAGTAATAGAATGAATTTGATTGAAAAATTGTTGTGATGTTAAATTTATTGAATATTTTAATGATACCATTAATGCTGAAATCTCCAAAATGGAGAAATTGTTGGAGTTGAATGTATTTTTTTTGGAGATTTTAACTTTTGAGTCTCCATTTTGGAGAAATCTTAGAGAATCTGTTGGAGATGTTCTAAGATTTCATGTGACTTAAAGTAGGAATTAGAAAAGTAGTACTTTCTTTGTAGATATATATATATATGTAACATTTTGAAAATACCATATATATTTCAAAGTAAATTTTCTTTTCTTACCAGGCTTCCCCATGGAAATCTATCGAAAAAGCTATGAGTGGTTTGAAAAAGGAACAATCACTAGAGGATGTTCTACGGAAACAAATGGAGAAGCAAGATTACTATGATGACGGAAGTGGTGAAGATCCTCCTATTGGCGGCGGCGATGGCGGCGGCGGCGGTGGTGGCAGTGGCGGGTTCCGTGGAACAGGGGATGAAGGCTTTGATGGGATGTGGGATGATATACAACAAGTCACCTTTGCAATCCTTGCACTAATAGCTATGGTAATCAGTTTTTCTCATCTACTTTAAGTAGAAACTATTGCATATTTTAGGGTCAGGTACATTATATATACACATATATAGGGTCGGGTTCAGGGGAAAACCACAAAAGAATTGAAATGCTGAGGAACACCTTGTGACCATTCATCTGGACGTATGCACATGTGCATACAAGTAATCTGTAGCAAATTTGTCCGGTATGCACATGTGCATAACATCCAAGAAACAACTTCAATTACTTGTATGCACGTGTGCATACCGTCAAGATGAACGGTTGGTTACCAAGGGTGTTGGGATGTTCCTTAGTTTTTCATTTTTTTTTGGGTTTTCCTCTGAATCCCCCCTCTCTCTCTTATTGTTGGATGGCTTATAATATCATGTCGAAGAACGTCATTCATGTTCTAGAACCCCAGACAAGATGGGACAAAAACTTGTCCCACGTTTGGTGCAACATTAGGACCGGGACATGACATGATTGAGTGGGACAAAAATGTCTTTTTCTTTGTTCCCACCAAAATAGGTGGAACAAAAATCCATCACATGTGATAAGATTGGTAAATTACTAAATTACCCATGCTAAATTAAAACTTTATCACCTTGCGCAATTCTTTCACCTGCCACCTTTACTTTTGTTCGTCCTATATGCATACCAAACATGCCCCGTGGGATCATTCAGGTGCTTTTGTTAAGCGGGACAAAACAAAACAAAACAAAACAAAAACTTCTTGGCCCCAAATGACAGGACAGGACGAGACAGTTTTTGTCCACCAAAATAGGTGGAACAAAAATCAGAAGATGGACAAGATTGATAAATACTAAACTACCCTTGTCAAATTAAAACCCTAAAACCTTGCACAGTTCTTTCATCCGCTTACCTCACTCAGGCCAGTCTTGTGTCCTACCTCACTCAGACCAGTACTGTGTCCAGTCCTTTCTAGGCCAGTCCAGGCCTGTCCACATACCAAACACACCCTCACCATTTTCTATTAAATTAACTAACAACCTTGTCTTACCGGCTTCTTTCAGTACGTGTACATCGTTATGGGTGACCGGGTTATCACTTTCATAGCAGAGGGCTTCGAGTTTCTTGCCGGAAAAAGAGGTCCTCGTTTACGGACCATAATGCAAGAGTTTGCTCAATTCTATGAAACATACCGAGCCAAAGTCAAAGTCGATCCTTATTGGTTAGAAAAAGCAATAATCAGTACCCCGACATGGTGGGATAGCCCTAGGAAGTATCGGCGCGCGTTAAGGCCTCAGATACGTGCGATTATGTCTTCAAGCTCATTAGATAGCGATAACGATGACAATGACAAAGATTCAGACGATGAAAACACGTATCGTAAGGTTTCAGACGATAGAAATCGATACCATAAGAAGACATACAGTGACGATGATAACGATAACGGTGCCTATAGTGAAGATGATGATGACTATTAAAAGAATGTGACGGGTTTTGAGTCGATGAATCGGGTTGTTTCGCAAAATATGTAAGAAAAAGATTGCGAACAAATACTTGGCTTTCGGTTTCCGATAGCAAACTTTGTGATCTCCCTTATTTTTGTCTCCATTTAATGTTTGTAGCCGATCATTGGATTCATATATAAACTTGCAATTTCGGGTAGAGATGCCACAAAAATCCCGAAGTACGGCCCGAAAAAGCTCGGACATAGTAAGCCTGAGCTACGGGTGTAAACGAGCCGAGTCGAGTAGTGGCTTAATTGAGTTGGGCTCGAAAAATAATACTAGGCTCGAGCTCAAATATTTTTGAGTTATCGGGCTTGAGCTCGATGCTCGTTTATGGGTTCGAACTCGCGGTCAATTAACCCATTTATCGACTTGAGCTTGATAAATTTTATATATTTATTGTACGATTGATAAATATATGAGCAGGCTTGGCTCGAAAAAATATATTTATTGTGAAAATATGTAAAACCTTTATATCTACTCTCTAAAAAAAGCCCTTGTATAAAAAAAAGATAAATTACATGAAAAAATAACGTACTTCGGCTTTATTTTTATTTTGGATAGCATACTTTCAAGACTTTCATTTTGTTACCTAAGATGTAAAGTCTTAAACATTTAAGTACCTGAGTGGGTAACTGGTTGAGACATTAACCAGTTATCATGCTGATGTGGCGACTGATGTGGTATCCAACTCAGTATTATTTGCTGACGTGGTTAATGACATGAATTTTTTAATCTAAAATTAGTCTTTTTTTAATCTATTTAATAAATCTTCATTTAATTATTAAGAGACATGACAAAAAATTGTGTGAGAAGCGAAGTCATAACGAGAAACATTAGAAAAGATCGAATCCTCAATCACCTTTAATCTCATGTCCACCAATGAATTGCATTTTAGAATGGAACTGATCGGGTGTATCTCATTAGTGTTGACATTCAATTATTCTTGTGTTTCTCACTGAAACCCAACCCTAAGAGAGAACTCCCCCGTCTCAAAATAAATGTCCACCATCAAAATGACCCAAAGTTAAGAATGTGCAATGATTATACTTTTTAAATGATCAAACGACACTTTTACCCTTGATAATAGAGAAATAAACTTTTTCCATATTATAATTAAGGGTAGAATAGGAAATTGAAAACTTATTATATAGAAATTAGGACTAACTAAAATAGTTTAATTTGGGACTTAGAGAGTATATGTTTTCCATTTTTGGTAAATATATATAACTGAACGCTACAAAACTTGGGATTTTGAGATTCTTTTTAAAGATTATCGGTTCGACTCGAACTCTCAACCAATGGGGCGGAGATGGGGCGGGTTTTGTAATCCCTGACCCAGGTTTTAAGTAACAGCCCCTGGCCCCGGCAGGTACAGAGATTAACATCCCGTCTCCAGTTCATTTTCTGGTCAAACCCCGATACTCGTCTCCGGTCAAGACCTAATTTTTGAAACATACACATATATTATATAAAATATATTAATAAAGTTATATACCGGTTACAGGGCAGGTCAGGGTACAATACCCGACCCCGGCCCCAACCCCAACTTCAGTCTACCGGGGATCCCCGATCCCAGCCTCGGGACTTGTTTTAACAGGGAATCCCCATCCTCGACCCGGGTTTTCTAGAACTCACAGGGCTTACAAACCGACTCAAACACCGATATTCTTTAACGGCTAAATATTCATACTTGCATTAAATCTTGTATCCAGCTTAAAATCTATTTTCACGATCATAAATCAATAAATCAAATCATAAACAAAAAACTCCCATCATCAACAAACCTTAAAAAGGCCCGATTTCGATACGATCGAATAACACAAGCCGTGTCGTTTTCCGGTAACCCGCGGTGTCAAAATCGACATCCGACAATCGCCCATTCCACGGACCGTAACACTTCAAACGACACGGGCTCACTGATCGGACCAAAACGCTTCATTCCCACTCGATCAAAATCCCCCTTTTCCAAAATCGAATTTCACTACCTCGGTTTTTAAGCACAAACCATGAATTTGCAAAGCGGAAGAGCCAAACTCGAAGCCGAAACAAGACATATGGTAACAAAATAACGAGAACACCAAGTGATCGGCTTCCATTTAATCTCGACACTCGAACTCTTCATCTTCTTCCCGTTTCCGGGCTCTTTCGATAGATCGAAACTAACCCCTTTCATCCTCAATTCTTGAATACATCTTATCAAACTTCGATTATCGGTTTTCTCCCTCTGAATCTGTCCGTACACTTTCCAGTACCGGAAAAGCTTCATCTGAACCAAGAACACCATCACGACACAAAACGATAACGACGTCATCATGGGTATCCACCATTTTCGACAAAGATCGTTGCTTGACGACGATAACGACGACGATAACGATGACGACAACGACGACGACGTGAATAGAATGGTCAAGAAAAGACCATGAAATGTAAAGAAGAACAAACAAAGCTGGAATATTTCTCGCCGGAGAGTATCCAATCTCGTTTCTTTTCCGGCGATCCGGCGACCGGAAAGATCTTCTTCTCTCTGCCATAGCTTCAGAAGAAGGAGGTGGCCGGGGGATTCGGAGATTTCCATCAACGGGTGGTCTTGGATGGCGGAGATGGCGTTGATGGCAGAGATTATTTGCTTCTGGTGTTCTCCGTCGACCGGAATTTCGATCAGGTGGTGGTGCAGATCTTCCATTTCCGCCATTGATGAACTTCAAAAACCTTCAAAAGCAGATCAAAATTGAACAGAAGTAAGATTAAGTAACCGAATTGAAGATCGATTAGGGTTGATTCGTGGTTAGATTTGCAAATAAGACGGTGAGATTTGGATGATTATGGTGGCGAGTTGCTGGATATTTAGAGGGTTTATGAAACGGTAACGGTCCCTTTTTCTTTTCTCGATTACAACGGTCAGATTTTTCCATTTGGATAAATTTACAATTTGCACCCTTGTTCTTTTGTCATTTTGTTATATATGACGCCCATTTTGTTATAAATTTACAATTGGTTGTATACATATGATGAGTTGCATTTAAAACGTCCTATATATATATATTATATATATATTGAGGCCCATTCAAGAAGAATTGATTAGTTTGTGGTAACCATAAGATCTAATCCCAACCATAAATCAAAAGTTAAATTAGAAAATTAATAATTTTGATAATGTTAACTTAAAATATTAATTAAGGGCATTTTAAGAATTCTATAAATATCCTCTCTCATCTCTTCTCTATTCTCTCTCCGGTGAATCTTATTCGGATGAAACTTATATGAACACAAGATATACATTGTGATACCTACAAACAGTATTCACTGTGATACCCAAATATACATACAAGATGTACAATGTGATACCCTTTGAAAAACAATGAAAATAACAAAAATGCACACTATGATACAAAATTAAAAGGGTAAAAATTAAATAGAAAAAATGATAGCCTTGTATTTTGGGTGGTGAAGATTGAATTGGTTAGAGTTTATATATATATAGGAATAGGACGATGGTTTCTTTCTCCTTCATTTCTCTTTCTGCAAATCATGAGTTGGTGGCGATCGGGATTCGTCGGCGCTGCAAGGGTACCATTCTATCTCTATCTCTATCTCTATCTCTATCTCTATCTCTATGTGTGTATATATATATATACATACATATATGTATATATATATATATATGTATATTATATACAGAGACAACTCAATAGGATCAGATCCAGAAGAAAACATGAATCCTCTTAAGCCAATTACCCATATATATATATATATATATATATATAGAGAGAGAGAGAGAGAGAGAGAGAGAATTCTATAGAATCTAATTCAGAAGAAATCGTGGAATACTGATTACCCTCTGTGTGTATACAATCTATTGCATTTGTACAACCAATGCAACCCAATAAATTGAAATATTTATGGAAATGATTAGAGTTCATTTATTATGATTTAAATATTTATGGAAGATGAATACGGTTCATTAATTATGATTAATACTTTACATTAGAAAATAATCAAAAACTCTATAAAATCACATATTAATCAAATGAAATGGACGGTTAAGATTAGGTTGTATTGGTTGCACAAATGACAAGGGTTGTATAACAACCAACCTATATATAGGGTATATTTCAAATACAATCATGTTCATTTGTACAACCAATGCAACCCAATCAATTGAGATATTTATGAAAATGATGATAGTTCATTTATTATGATTTGAATATTTATGAAAGATGACTAGAGTTCATTAATTATGATTAATACTTTATATTAGGAAACAATCAAAACTTTTATGAAATCACATATTCATCAAATTAAATGGACGGTTGAGATTGAGTTGTATTGGTTGTACAAATGTAAAGGGTTGTATAATAACTCACTTATATATATATATATATATATATATATATATATATATATATATATATTATACAGAGACAAACTTTATAGGATCAGATTCAGGAGAAAAAGTAGAATACTGATAAACCAATTACCCCTTTGTTCGATTACTAATGATTTTTCAATTTATATGTAGAGGAAATTGGAGGATGGCAATCCATCACGGAAGTACCAGAAATTCGCTCTAATAATCGGAGTCACCGGCATCGTTGGGAACAGCCTCGCCGAGATCCTACCACTCCACGACACCCCCGAAGGTCCCTGGAAAGTCTACGGAGTTGCTCGCCGCCCACGACCATCGTGGAACGACGATTACCCTATAGACTATATCCAATGCGACGTTAGCGATCCTGAACAAACCCAATCCAAACTCTCGACCCTAACAGACCTCACTCATCTTTTCTACGTCACATGGGCCAATTGCGAAACCGAGTCCGAAAACTGCGACATCAATGGCAAGATGTTCACCAATGTCCTTAATGCTGTAATCCCGAACGCCCCAAATTTACAACATATTTGCTTGCAAACTGGTCGTAAGCATTACATCGGATCACTAGAAGCCATTATGGCGAAAAAATTCGTTCACGATCCACCTTTTCACGAAGATCTTCCCCGACTCGATTCCCCTAATTTCTACTACACACTCGAAGACATCCTCTTCAAAGAAGTCGAAAAGAAGGAAGGACTAACATGGTCCATCCATCGACCCGGGGTCATTTTCGGGTTTTCACCCAACAGTATGATGAACATTCTACTAGGTCTATGCGCCTACGCATCAATTTGCAAACACGAAGGTCAACCACTGACGTTTCCAGGAACCAAAGAAGCATGGAACAGCTTCACCGACGCTTCGGATGCCGATCTGATCGCCGAGCACCAAATCTGGGCGGCGGTCGATCCGATCGCAAAGAACGAAGCGTTTAACATCAGTAACGGGGACGTTTTCAAGTGGAAGCATTTGTGGAAGATTCTGGCGGAGCAATTCGAGGTCGAAAACGGCGGGTTTCGGGAAGACGGAGAGAAGAAAAGCTTGGGGGAGATGATGAAAGATAAAGGGGGTGTTTGGGATGAGATAGTGAAGGAGAAGGGCCTTTTGGTAAATAAGTTAGAGGAGGTTGGAAAGTGGTGGTTTGTGGATGTTGTTCTAAGTAATGAAGGGATGTTGGATATAATGAATAAGAGCAAAGAACATGGATTTTTAGGGTTTAGAAATACAAAATCATGCTTTGTTTCTTGGATTGATAAGATTAAGTGTTCCAAGATTGTGCCCTAGATGTGGTTTCAGTCGTTTTGAAGCGAATGACAATAACTGTTGTCTTATATCTGTTAGATTGCTATATCAACTAGATTTGAACTGTTTCTGCTCCAAACATGTTGGAACTATGTTTTATTTGTGATATAGAACCATTTTTTTAAGCAAAGAGAAGGAAGAGAGAGGAGAGCAGAAAACTCAGGGTTTTTTTTTTTGTGATCAACCTGGATATCCAACCCGTTTTGCAAGCCGACTAATTCCAGGGCAACCACCTACTTTGCAAGTAGCACGAAGTCACCGCATTTGAACCTCCGTAGTCATAAGAGGATTTTTGTTCCTCCTTAGATTTGAACCTGGGACCTCATGACACTTTTGACCTTTGGTGTCAAGCTGGTGGTTAAAACCCATGGTTTGTTTGGTTGACAAAATGTTTTTGAGTATTTTGGATTTCGAGGGAGGATTTGGAATGGGTCTCCAAAATTTTAGACTCAATTACATGAAAAAGTAATGTACCTTAACTTGATTTTTATTTTAGGTAACGTACTTTTAAAACTTCCATTTTGACACATAAAATGTAAAGTTTTAAACATTTAAATACTCGGATAACTAGTTGAAGCATTAACTGGTTATCATGCTGATGTGAGGAATTATATGATATCCAACTCAGTATTATTTGCTGATGTAGTTAGTGACATAGACTTTTTTTAATCTAAAATTAGTCTTTAACCGGTTATTCGGGTACTTAATTGTTTAAAACTTTACATCTTAGGTACCAAAATAAAAGTTTTTTTAAAATACATTACCGAAAACATGAATCAAGTTAAATTACGTTACTTTTTCATACAATTTGTCCAATTTCATAGTTTAGGACTTTCATCAACAAATATAAAACTATATTTATCTTTATTATCTTATCTTACAGTGTAATCAAAAAATTTAGATGTAACAAAGGCTCTAAAAATATTGGAACATCCGTGGATTTGGAATCATTGATATGTTCGGTTAGTAGAATTTGGAATTGAATTTAATTCTTTATGAATAATTTATAAAAATAAATTAAAAAATAATGTAATTTATTAACTTATTATTACGAAACAACTGTTTTTTAACATTGTTTAAAATATTATTATAAATAAATCCTATGAAATTTAAGGGACGTTAACAAATCAAGCCTTTAACGAGCTACTCAAGCCTGAGCTCGGTTATCTCAAGCTCGAGCCGATCTCGAAACACACATTTAGATTGGTTTAACATAACAAGTCGAACTCCAAAACATCGATTCTCAATTCGGCTCATTCAAAAACTCGATTAAATTTTTCGAGTCCAACATGTTTGTATATTCATAAATCAAGTATAAAATTATAAAGGTCGAGCCAATAAGAGAATCAACCGATCTCGAGTTCAAGCACGTAAACAAATATCGAGCTCAAGCTTGAACATTGAAGAACATTCGAGCGCGGTAATGCTTTCTCGAGCCAAACTCGAATAGCATACAACTCGACTCGTTAACCGGTGGCTCGACATATTATCATCGAGACACAAATAGGATCGTTTTTTGTGCGTAACATAGTTGGGTGTTCTTTCTAACCAAATCTTTTGGCAATTAGCCCTTGAATTGAACCAACAAATGCAAATATTGATACAAACAAGCAAACAACGGTGAAGATACGAAGAGCAATCCACTTACCGGTCCACGGTGCGATTCTTTTCCGCACAAAATACATCTCCACCGGGAAGTATACAACCAACGGCCAGAAAGTCACCGACCCTGCAAACGCCACCACTTCATTGAAGTAAGGGAATACCATCGCTATAGATGTCGTTAAAACCACATATGATATCCGAAAACAAAACCGAAAGGGATTCCGCCTCATTCTGAAAATCCGGTTGCTTGTGGATTCACTTTCGAGATACTTCTCAGCGTACCATCTTTCCACGATGCCGTATAACGTCTGACTAAATATCTGATAAAAAACAGTAAAGAGGTGATCGTTTATAAGTTTGGGTTGGATACGGGTTAGGCCCAACCTACAGTCAGTGTATAGCATACCTGATCCCGTTTTTGCGGGCTTGATAATTTTTATGTACCGTCGAGCTGTGCACACAAGTCAAGGATTTTTTCATCGTCCAGGCCCGTCTATTTTTTCGAGAATGGTTTCCTAGGCCAATTTTCTAACGGATTGGACGGGACATGTCTAACGGGTGTACTACCCGTGAAACAATAAACCAATGCTTACGTTCATTTTCTGGATCTGATTTCCAAAGGTAAATGAGCCGTTTTACCAAACTCTTACCAGGTAAACGCTTAAGCATGATAAGGTCCAAGAATCTTACTCGGTTAGAGGCATAGCAAAGATCAAGAATCTTACACAGTGAGTGAGTCTTGGCCGGTAAGCGCTTACCACAATCTATATTTTGATATTTTGGTGGCCGAGAATGTAAGCGTTTACCAAAGGGTCCCTAAAACAGTTCATGGAGAATAAGTGTTTACCTGATATCCTCCAACCAAGTGCAGAAAAACACATGCATTAGCGAAGTCGATGAGCCAATACGGCTCGTAAAATCCGAACCCGGTTAAGATATTCCCAGGAGTCGAGTTCCCGAAAGCCGCATACCCAAATCCACCACAGCAAAGGTAAAAAACAGTAGTAGTAAAAACTGCAATTCTTGAAGCATTCTTCATGGTTACTTCCTCAGGTGCAGGTGATTTCAGAGTACTCTTCATATTCAAAAACAGTTAAAATTACAAAACTGACCTTGAGATGTCTCTTATATGGATGAAAGAACCATAACCATTTTACCTGTATTTCAAGAAAAATCAAGGGAAAAGGGTATGAAAATGCTATATCTCCAATAGCTTGAGCTACCAACCATACTTTCTGAATTGGTTCATCAGTTGAAACTCCTCCTATGCTACCTTTGACCTTTCCGTTTCCTGCATTCTCATCATCAATTGATAAATTATCAGAAACGCCATCTACTAATATCGTTCGGGGTGCGTTTAGTACGTTGGACATGATGGGACAGAAGAAAAACCTTTTGTCCCACGTTTTGTGGGAAATTTAGGGCTGGTTTGTTAGTAGCTTAATGAGACTCGCAGCTTATTCGGCTAGCTATACATGACTGTTTGGTAGTGGCTTGATGATATAGAAAGTGGCTTATTCAGTAAGCTTCCCTTCTAGAGGGGAGCATTATACAGAAAGACAAGTTTTTCCCAAACCTGTCGCACTCAATTAAAGAACACTCTTGTTCTATCTATAAAAAAACCCACCCAAACAAAAAACTTTTCAATCTATACAGACAGATTAATCCACACAGACAACTTTATCCATACAAGACTTAATAGAAAGCCAGCCAAACAGCCCCTAGACCGGTATAGAACATGACCAAGGATTGAGTAGCACAAAAATGCATTAGTCATACTAAAATAGGGGAACAAAAATCAAGAAGACGAGAATCACAAGAATGATAAATTACTAAAATACCCATTTGAAATTTAAACCCAAAACCTTGTACAATTCTCTTAGATTCTCTATAATTTTTTCTAAAACATAGAACCAAAAACCAAAAAGAACCCTTATACTCAACTCCAACATATCCTCTATTTTTAGTGATTTAATGAACATTTTAAGAAACTTTATATAAAATAACAATAAAATTCAATCAAGAATGAAAAAAAGTCATTTCTCTATTCTCGCATCAAGTTTTAGAGAATTCTCTAAACTTGGGAGTTTTTTATGTTTTAGATAACAATATAGAGAATATGTTAGAGCAAAATAGATAAGAAAATCTCCATTCTCTCTATTTGGAGCATCTGGAGATTCTCTCACATTCCTACCAAACCTCGCCAAGTCTTTGTTCCCTCCATTCCGGTCTGCGTACCAAACGTACCATCAAGTCCGAGAGGAATCCAATCATACATACCTATCGTTTGGGCTAACCCTAGCCCCGATCCAATGAAAGAATACGCAAACGACATAACTGCAGCAATAACCGAGAGCCATTTTGTACAATGGAAATTGGGTATTTGAGAAGCTATAATTTGAACAATTCCGAAAAGGATCATATAGGTTTTTATCCCGTATTCGCAATCAGCTTCGTGGCCATTTTCATGGTAACAATTCGACTGCTCAATTGCTCTATCGCCAATAAAACAAAAACATCAACAATTAGACCAAAAAAACATTGTTAAATGATCACCAGAAAGAATCATACCTGATGCTGATTGCAGATGTAATCGTATAAACGACTCCCAACTTGAATAAATTGAAGTATACCAACACCGAACAAACCCGTCCATTCGAATTCCCTGCAACATGACCAGAGGTGGACCCATAAATTTTTCTCAATGGTGGCAAAATTCGACTATTAATATAGATCTATTGGTTAGTTCCTTGTCTTTTACATAGAAGAGACCCATGTTCAAGTCCAGTCTACATATATTTTTAAAAACACAATAAAATATAAAATAACACCAAGATTTAAGCTAAAAAACAACTTCGACAACTGTGGGAATTGAACTTGGGCCTTACGTACAAAGGCAGGAGCATTTACCATCTTAGCTATTGAAATCTTGTGCTAATGTCTCAGCCTAAAAACTATATGGTGGCACCCTTCATAATCGTAATTTTTTCCCTTACGAAGGAACCATGAAATGGTGGCACTAATCGTTCCATGTGGGTCCATCCTTGAACATGATCAAATACCGTCAAACAAATAGAAGTAGCCACTAATTGAATCAGTGGTCGTCTCACTCACCCAAAATGTTCTCCACAGCTTGCAAGTATGAACGATTGATAATGGTGACACCATTATTAGGGTCGGGATAGAGATGAAGATTCAAAAGAAGAGATGCATTTAGAAGGGAGACGAGTGCAAATAAAACAAGAGAAACTGGACCAGCAACCCATCCGAGCTGAGCCACACTCCACGATAACGCTAGAACCCCCGATCCGATTACTCCCGTTATTATGTGCGCAAAAGCTGTCCATACATCCCCTTTATCAAACAACGTAAACCGAGTTAGCACAAAAGAAGCCATCAATCAATCTATCTTCAAATTTCTAATATGCTTGGATCATAGTTTCATTTCAGCAAATTCTGTTGGAGGAAATTTGTGAATACTGAGAGAATCCGAGTGTAAAACTAGGATAAAGCCATGAGGTCGTAGTATTTTGACCCTAATTTGTCTTGGTACGAAGAACTCAACTCGAGGATAGTTTCAGATTTCAATAACGATTTTGGCAGACATATTTTCATTTCATACTTGGAGAATCATAATTGTTCCTAAATCTATAAGTGGAAATGATTATCAGATTAGTGGGTGGTTAAATGCACAAAGGTACGAAGACAGGGACCGAAATTGACATGGATCAGAAGGGTTCCAAAGTTTCTCATTCTTGCAATACTCACTACCCGCACTTATCTTATAGTGTAACATTTTTGGCTATCAAAATAGATTATCTGTAAGCATATTAGCAGGTAAGAGTTCTCCCTGACTTGCCAGGTACGATTCTCCCTGACTTGCCAGGTACGATTATCAATCATTGATATGCCTCTTACTTGATTCTTGGTCCTTTGTCATGCTACCCACTAACGCAAGTAACACCAAGAAAGCGTTTACCCAGTAAGCGTTTGGTAAACAAACCCTACGTCAATACCATTTCAGAATCATAAGTCTATGAACAAGACTCAAAACGCTTCTGAATTTCACTAAGACCACCGCCACAAGGGGGCCGCCCTAGGACCGCCATCCCCCCCCCCCCAGCACACACAAAAAGAAAAAGAAAATACAGTGCCATTCAGTAATTCTAGATTCTAGTTATAGCTTAGACGAGTTTGAAATCACACCTCCTACCATTGATTCATGGTTTAACCACCAACCTAATATTCTCTAGCAAATCTAACCACATAAAATGAACCCATGATTTCACTTAAATCATCAAAAATTTCAAAACAGAAGCAAAAGAAGATCGAGTAGCTAGCTTTTCATTTTCACAAACACCTGGTGCGCATCACCTACACAAATGAAAAATCTCTATCTTCCAACGAATTCTATTCATTTTCCACAACATTCAACATCCATAGATGCAAACAATCATCAAAAATCCAAAAACCAGATCACGCAGAGCAGGATTCAACACAAAACCCAAAGAATCACACACACACACACACAAAACAACTATCCACAATCAAATTCAAAAAGCTGGTAACTGGTTATATATATACAACGTATACCTAACAGCCATTAACAAACAAAACCAAAATAAAAACAAACCAGATCGTTTATGGAGCAGCAACAACGGAGCTTCACCTGCACCTTCTTCCATTAGTTTCGTCTGCAATCAGTTGAAACAGAAACATGAAAAATTTGGAGTTAAGAATTGACGAGGGCCGCGCGAACGCAGGCCCTCACTGGCACAAATTATGACGTAGGCTCGACTACTTGAGCCGACCTTAGGCGGACGCCCCTCCGTAGTGCAATGGAGGTCGTCAACCTAGGCCATGGGCCTTTTTGATCACCCATTGACCCCGTCCAGGTAAGTATGTTATCCAATTGCATACCTTGCTTTTTATATAACCTCTTCTTCTATTCTACTTTTACTAATACATCGATGTGGGATAGCAACAGTGAATGCAATCCTGGAATAGGTTGCGGAAGTCTTCTTGGCTGATATTGTTTGCAACTTGTTTTTTACTTTTAAATACTACTTCCTATCTTATATATCTATATCTATATTATATTATAAATTATTTGATAAAAAAATTTAAAATCATATTTTATATATAAATTATTGTTTATTAATGCATATTACTTAAAATTAAATATTACAAATAATTTTACGTAAATACAATTTATTAAAGCTTTATTTTTAAATTCGTATAACTAACTGTAGATAAAGATTCATTTTAAACATAGAAAAATTAAAATATAATTAAGATAATTACTGAGTTATAACATAATGTTTAATTGTTATCTTTACAAAAAAATATATATCATTAAACCAAAATTAAATTGCTTTGTTATTAAATTTAAATTAAATTATAATAAAAAAATTGAATTAAAGAGTTACACCAAAAAAGAAGAAATATTGTCGTTTTCTATTATATCGATATAGACAAATAATAAAAACTAAACATTAAAATCGAGATTTATTTCTTTTATATCTTTTAAAATTTCAAAAAATCTTAGTTGGTCGTGTTTTTTTTTCTAATTTCTAAGCATACTATCGATTTATCAATTCTCTCAATCTATTGAATTTATCGTCAAAATTGATTTGATATATTTTTTTTTGCAGCATAACTAAACAAGAACCCGATTGACCTCAACCCAAAACCGACCAACCCGAACTCGAAGCAATCCAAAATTCGAAATCCAAAAATTGGGGCTTGATTTTCATATCTGAAATCCGATCGGGTTTTTTATTTTCCCGGTTGATCCCGCCCAATGCACGCCCCTATTATGGTGTAGTATTTCCAGTCATCAAAATGGGTTGATGGTAAGTGTTTATAACCGGGTAAGAGTTACCACTCTCACTACCGGATTAAAAGTTTTGATTATTGTCTTTCCTCTTACCAAATAAGATTATCGGTCTTTGTTATATCCACTCAATAAGATAATCAAACTATTAAATGCTTACTAAAATAAATATTTAGTAAACGACCCTCGGTTGTTTTAGGTAAATATTTTTTCACTAAGAGTTCTTTTTAAATAAATGTTAGAGCATTTTCAACATGTATGCTATATGTTTTTTTTTCTAGAGATTTTAACTTTTAATACCCCACTTATAAAAAAAAATAACAGCATCTTCGTCGTAGATGCTCTAATGATTCCATGATATCCAGATGTTTGTTTATATTCGTTGTTTGTTTATTAAACAACGAACATAACCAAACAGTATAAAACCGTTTATCCCACTCAAATGAAGCGTTAGATAGTTTTTCAACGTAGTTTTCAAACACTCGAATCATCAAATATAATACCGTTACAAGACTTGGGGCCTTTGAGGATTCTCCTCAGAGGCTAGTTCAAGTCTTGCAACGGGAATGGGGTTTTTACTGGTTGTTATGAGTTCTTCAGGATCCCTAAGATTAGTAGAGATGCGCACAAAATGACTCGGACACTCACCGTTAACAAGAAAAAACCCGAATAACGACTTGATCGTAACATCTTCTATTTTTAGCCAACATTTATTACTCAAAAGGAACTACCAAAAGATTTGGAAGCCCACAAATCTACATGAATGTCAATTAAATGTTTGAATGATGAGATTGATGATATATCTGTGCATTGGGAAAAAATGAACGTGTATTTACTGGAATCTAGCCGATACGAGTCCTTCGAGTGATCCGATGAATGCCAAAGCCGATACAAGAAAGCAAGCGATGCTGAAGGATCGAAGAGCAACCCACTTTCGTGTCCAAGGTGCGATGTTTCTTTGCACGAAATACATCTCGACCGGGAAATATATGGTCAGTGGCCAAAAGCTTAAGGCTCCCAACACTCCCAACACTTGGTTGAAATACGGAAACAGCATTGCGATTGCAGTCGTGGTCACAACGTATAGCGACCTGAAACATAGCCTGAAGAGATTCACTTGAAATGCCGGCAGTGAAGGCAGGTTCAATGTGTAGAACTCGTTCACAAATCGACTATCTGGGTGCCTCTCGGAAAACCATCTTTCCACAAATGCAAATATCGGTTGGCTGAAGATCTGAATAACATTCACATATAATTAGAACAGTCAGGAGTCATTTTCCAACACAAATTGGGTAAACAATAATCGGGTAAGAGCTTATCATTGACCATGTAAGGGCTTGTTTGTTGGCAGCTTAATGAGCTTAATCGGACTGACAACTTATTCGGTCCGATGACTGTTTGGCAGTGGCTTAATGATATAGAGAGTAGTTTATTTAGTATGCTTCTAGGGGAAGCTTTATGAAGAAAGTCAAGTTTTTCCGAACCTGTCCCTCCCAACTAAAAACACGCTCCTTCCATCTATGGAAAGACCCTCCCAGAATCCACATAGATATCTTTATCTATACATAACTAAATGGAAAATCAACCAAACAGCTCATAAGAGCCCCTCCTATCTAAGTCAGCACCATGGACCGCCAAGAGCCAAGAGGGGCTTGGTAAACAGCATCTCTTGTTGGATATACGCAATAAGAGATGGTAACCAGGTAGTAAACAGACCCTTAGTAATGACTTCTGCATTCAGATCACGGACACAAATGTGTAGTACCTGATATCCGCCAACAAGATGTAGAACGACACACGCATTGGCAAAATCGACGAGCCAATAGGGCTCGTAGAACCCAAATCCAGTCAAGAGATTCCCGGGTGTCATGTTCCCAAAGGCTGCATACCCGAAGCCTCCGCAACATAGATAGAAGACGGTGGTGATGATGATTGCAGACTTTGAGGCTTTTTTCATTGTTACAGTTTCAGATGGTGGTGATTGCAAGGTATCCTTCATTGAAAAGGCAAATCAAGAATTCAAGATTTAGTTATTCATCACAAGAAAAAAAAAGTGCAAATTTGAATGAACCCATCAGGTGCAGCACCTGAATTTCTAGGAGTATCATTGAGTATGGATAAGCAAAAGCTATGTCTCCAAGACCCTGAAAAACTAGCCATGTTTTATAAGCTGCAGAAGCTGATGGGACTCCTCCTATTCTCCCCTTAATCTCCCCATTTTCTGAAACTCAAAGCTATATTTTCAGAAACACCCCAAAAAACCGCACTCAAGAATTCCATCCAGAAGATGATATTGGTAGGCATTTTCCCAAGTAACCAAATCAAACGAACCGAATATATCACACACAAAGTAGGGTTTAGGGGAAAGATGTACCTAATATATCTCAAACCAAGTAGGGTTTAGGGGTAAGATCTACGCATATGTTGCCTCTATTGACCACTCTACAGGTTAGAGGGGCAACCAAATCCCAATATATCCCACACAAAGGAGGCTTTAGGGGTAAGGCGTACCCGGTCTATAGGGTTTAGGGATAAGATGTACACATATTTTCTCTCTACTGAGTACCCCACAGGGTAGACGGGCATTTTCCCAAGTGTAGGATTCAAATTCAGTACTTCTAGGTTAGCCCACAAAAGGCTCAATGTGATTAGGATAAAGGAAAGGCAAGAAAATCAAATTTAAAAACCGAAGCGAATATATATTATACCGATAACTTTTGCCAAACCAAGCCCCAAACCGACGGTAGAGTAAGCAATCGACATCATGGCAGCAACAACAGAGAGCCAAGCCATGTTATGGAAATTTGGTATCTGAGACATGACGATCTGCACTAGTCCAAACAGAAGCATATAAATGCTGTCTGGATATTTACATGCTGCATCATGCCCTTGTTCGTGATAACAATTCGATTTCAGTATTGCCCTGCATTCATATCATCATGTAATCAATATCTTAAGATGACCGCAACACCTCAAGTCAAGACAAACTTAGATCACTTTTCCAGCATTGCCCAAAAGCAAAGTTTATAAACAAACCAAATCAAACGATTTTTAGCATATCACACTCGAAAGTAAGGTCTGCGGTACATCATAAATCAACTTTCATGGCCCAAAAGCAAAGTTCATAAGCAAACCAAATCAAATCTAATGATCTTAGTATATCTAGCTCGAAATTAAGTTGCGAAATGAGATGTATGCAAGCATGTCCTTTACCACGAGTTGTGCAAAGTTTATAAACCGATATTTATCCATGAAATTGGATCATTAGCAAAGAATATCTACATTAGTGATTTAAATGTTGATAAATTATCAGAAACAAACATTTCCCTGCATCAATGTTCATGAAATAAAAGTACTACACCAGTAAATTGGATTTACCTGATGCTGGTAGCAGTTGCAATGGTGTAAGCAATATCATTCCCAAATAAGCTCTCGTTGAAGAACACGGCACATATCTTCTGATTCCTCTCCCCTGCTTTTCAAAGTTAGCCTCAAATTCGACTTTACGCCATTAATTCAATCGGGATGATCGCTTGTATCATTAATAATATTACATTAGCATAAAAAAACAGACAAGGACACTCTAGAAGCTCTGCCAAAAAAGTTTATGCACCGATTACTGGTTAAGTATTTGGTAACAAACTTAATAATCAATCTATTGAAACTGATATCTAAAAAATTTCCACCGATATTACGTTAATTCTGGAAAACAGAAGTGAATGAATGGCAAATGGTAAGAGAAATCCAGAACTGACCTAAATAGAATCTAACAGCTTGAAGAAAGGAAGTATGCCTATCAGGACCTAACTCGGAGTCCGGAGATCTGTAGCAATCGGAGAGAATGGAGGTTGAAACTCCGGTAACCAACGCGAAAACTAAGATTGCAAGAGTACCAAACAACCATCCGAGTTGCGCCAAGCTCCATCCCAACGACAACACTCCTGCTCCCATCACTCCGGTTATTATATGAGCTATCGCCGTCCATATCGTTCCTGTAACTCCACGTTTACATTCCGACCGTCCAGTGAGTAGACCTTAGACGATCAATTCAAATTCCAATAAAACAGGAAACGATGAGACGAAATTGAAATTAACATACCAGTTCTATGTGTGACGATGTGAGATTGATGATCAGGAGATGAATGCGAGTGTTCTATTAGCGGAGACAGGTCTTCTTCTATGGAGCCAGCCATGGAAGTTGCAGGTTATCTCTCTCCCACGCAAAAATGACAAGTTGAAAGGGGAGACGTGTGAGAGTGAAAGGATCAATGGCGTTGATTTTATGATGAAACTGATTTGAAGATCGTTGGAGAAGCTGCATACGTGTCCTTTTTTTTATTTCGTTCCCTCTTTTGCCACTCATTTTACCGTTTCGTTTTCTATTAAATTTAAATATATAAAAAATTATGCAACCTTTTATTTTTTTATTTAAAATGATGATTAAAAAATCATTTTATAAAAATTATATTAAATAAAAGAACAAATTCCATGAAAAAATAACGTATTTTAATTTGATTCTTATTTTTGGTAATGTACTTTTAAACTTCGATTCGGGTACCTAAAATGTAAAGCTTTAAATATTTAAGTATTCGGATAACCGGTTGAAAACTAATTTTAGATTATAAAAAATTCATGTCACTAACCACATCAGCTAATAATACTGAGTTGGATACCGCATCAGCATGATAACTGGTTAATGCTTCAACCTGTTACCCGGGTGCTTAAATGTTTAAAACTTTACATATTATGTACGTTACTTTTCATGAATCGTGTACTGTTTCGTGATTCTGTTTCATCTGATCTGTCTTGTACCATCCATTTTGCGTACCAGACGCTACCGGAATAATATTTAAAGAACCATCAAGAACAGAGGAATAAAGGGTTTTGAATGGGCCACACAACTTAAAGTTGGTAAATGCATGGTGCAACGTATAGAATCTGAAGCTGGTTTAGTTCCAATCATTGTTTTATCTTTAAATTATTTGTCGCGTTTGCATTTATGTTGACGACATCAATTCTGATTGACAACAAAATTATTGTTTTATTTATAAAAAAATTATTTGATTCAAATATATCTGGTTTAGTTTCATAACTTTAAACAGTATAAACACCGGTATTATTAAAAATATGAAAGAAAATACGGGTGTCAGGGTCCCTCTCGATTATGATGGTACATCAAGCTTATACAGATGCCCCACGTGTCATATGAAAGTAGTTGTTATCCACATTGGCTATAAACATCATTATCACATGTTTCGTTTTATAATACACACCAAATCACTTAAGAATTTCAACGCCGTCCTACTTTTTTGTCTGTTTAGTATTTTTTTTATAGTTATATTATTTTATGTTTGGTTGATAGATCTATAAAGCTCGAGATGAATCTTTGACTTATGGTAATCCACAATAACCAATGATAACACCAACACATATATTAATTTAACCAGTTCTGCTTATTTTTTTAAAAAACTAGAAGCGTACTCGCGCAATGCAGCGAGATACATCGTGATTTTAATATTTCGTTTTATTATTTATCTCAATCGATGTTATAATATGGCTTTATGTTATTTTGAGAAAGCGATGACAAAAATATAGCGATATTCGTATCAAATTAACTATTTAAAACTCCTATTTTTTTGTAATTTTTTAATTCAATTTTTTATTATAGTTTAATTTAGGTACAATAACGAATTAATTTAGATTTAGTTTAATAATATAATTTTCTTATAAAGATAATAATTAATCATTTTGTTAGTAACTCGATAATTATTCTAATTATATTTTAGATTTTTTAGATTTTAAAATAAGATGTTTATCCTCTATTTGATTATATTTATCCGCAATCAGTTATATGAATTCAAAAATCGAGTTTTATAAGTTGTATTTGTAAAATCCAAAAATTTCGAGGAATAAAATAAGGCATATTTATTATTATTTCTATTTTATTTATGAATATACATATATATATATATATATATATATATATATGTTAAATAAAAGTTAGAGGTTTAAAATAAGTTAACTTTGTTTTTACTTACAGCTAAGTGCTGAAGGCTCCAATTAGAGGGGGAGAGCCTGCTGTAAGCTTGGGAGAGGCAGCAGAGGACAGGCGGTGCCTGGCCCATAAGGGGAAACTGCGACCTGCATGATTTCAGGCTGTGGAGAAGACAGTCTCACAACCTAAAAATTGGGATTTGGCCGATTTGGTCAACTAATAGGCCAAACCGCCTGAGTATAAATCAGGGGTACTGGTCTAGAGTAGTTATCCTTTTGAAAGAATAAGGAATCGTCGAGTTTGAGAGAAGGAGAAAAGTCGGAGTTCATACTAGCAAGAACCCCCCCTTGCTTCCCGTCGTTTAGAGGTAAATACTCGACCAAATTTATGATTTAAACAATGTTTAGTCGTGGCTTTGGCCATGTATAGAACCCTAGAAGGCTCACGTCCAAACTTTGTGTTTTGGGAGTCGATTTCAAGGATTATTTTTCATTTGTTAAACACGATGTATCACAGCCTGCTTAGAAGCCACCTTAGAGAATGTTACACAGAAGCTCTGCATAAGAGCTATGTATCATGTGTGTTAGACAGAAGCTCTGCATAAGAGCTCTGTATCATGTGTGTTAGACAGAAGCTCTGCATGAGAGCTTTGTGTCATGCTAGCCAGAAGCTCTGCATGAAAGCTTTGTATCAAGTTATGTTATAGTGAAACTCTGCGTAAGAACTCTGTGTCAAGTTATATTAGACAGAGGCTCTGCATGAGAGCTCTGGAGAAGAGACCACATAGGGGCTCTGGCCCTTGGTGTAGAATTATTTCCCAAGTATAGATTGGTTTAACCAGAGGCTCTGGTCACGAGACCATAAGCTTTGTAAGAGAGACCAGAGGGGTTCTGGTCCTGGGCGATGAATTATTTTCTATGGTTACAACCGCAGAGGCTCTGGTAGTTCACAGAGGCCCTGGTGGTTCGCAGAGGCTTTGGTCGACCACAGAGGCTCTGTGTCGTCCACAGAGGCTCTGGTCCTCTCCAAGACTTAGCACAGAGGCAGCCTTAAAGTTTCATCCTTAGCCCCGATGGTTCGATAAGACTTTTAGAATAGCAAGCGAATAGTTGACCGTAAGATGACTTTTATAGTCCTTGGAGAAACTTATTATTTACTATTCGCTATTATAAATTGTAGGTTACCAGTCAGCACCGTTAAGTAAGCAATCGACGTTATTAGGTGAGTCTTCATGAGACTTACAATGGGATGCATACCTATGTATAAATTTATTTTCAAGCATTATACGATGGTGGTACAAATGCATGATGTTTCAGTTTACATACATGATATGTTTTACATGTATGACGTTTTATGATCAATTGCATGTTATGTGTTTAATCATGTTTCGAATAACTCTATCATGCTTTTCTAAAAGTTTGATGATTTAAGGCTGGACATTTGACCAGTAAGTCACGACCAGTATAAAACACTACCCGGACAAATAGGTGATCAATCGAGAATGAAGTATCAACCCATGGCGTGTTTGTGACTAAATGACCCATTCCAGACAGATAATTTAGGAGATTTCATTTATTTCAGTGTTGCATGTTTTCAAAAATTGTATGCTACTTGGTACAAGGTTTACAAGTTGAAATGTATGACGTACAATGTTTTTATACACGAAAACCATGAACTCACTGAGCTTTATAAGCTGACTATAGTATGCATTTCAGGCCCAGGTAGTTCGAGGACGGACAAAGGCAAAGGACATGCTTAGAGTGTTGCCTATTATTATCTCATTTTAGTCTTTTGTCTAAGATGCGCTGTAATGATCTTTTGTAACTTAACCCCAAGTGAAGGTGGGTTTGAACTTAAGTTAAAATTTTGGGATTCAAAGACTACCGCTGTAAACGATTAGAACGGTGATATTTTAGCCGTCTTTTGGACTATGTATTCAGGAAATTGATTCAGGTTACGTGACATTCTCAAAAAAAAAAAAAAAATGAGGGTGTTACAGTATTTTTGCATAATTTACTTGTAATCTTGAATTTTAAGTAAACATTGGTTTTATGTGGTTTTGAGAAAGTGGTAATATTTTTATTTTTGAATAAAATATAA